TTTCCATCATGGCCTGAAACAGTATCTCAGGTTAAATTTATAAAAGAGCCCTGGTTGAGGAGGACGTCCATTCAGATGATTAGGGGTGGGGGACCTTTGAATTTTATTTTTGGTTTACACCAGTAATTTATAAACCAAATTTTTGTCAGTAACCTAAAAGTACACACTCAGTGACAGTACTTTAAGCTCTTATTCCAAACAGCACCTGCTGAGCTCTTAAAATGTATTATTTTATTTCATCTCCACAATAGTTCTGTGAGGTAGGAACGATCACTGTTTTGTAGATGAGGATACTATGGCCCAGAGAGGTCAAGTACTTTGCCTGATGTCACACAACTAACAAGTGCCAGGGCTAGGATTTCAACTCAGGTCTGACTCTAGAGCAGGTGTCCCCAAACTATGGCCCACTGCGGGCCGAATGCGGCCCCCTGAGGCCATTTATCCGGCCCCCCGCCGCACTTCAGGAAGGGGCACCTCTTTCATTGGTGGTCAGTGAGAGAAGCACAGTATGTGGCGGCCCTCCAACGGTGTGAGGGACAGTGAACTGGCCCCCTGTGTAAAAAGTCTGGGGACGCCTGCTCTAGAGTCTGTGCTTGTAATTACCATGCTATGCTGCCTTCTGCTTCATTCAATTAAACTGCCGAGTTTATCAAATCTGTTATCCTTCATACTTTAATAATAAGTGTCTAACATTTATTGAACACATGTATTATTGTGTATGCCAAGTACTGTTTAAATGCTTTACATTTATTAACTCATGTTAACCTCAAACCAACCACATACTTGTTTCGCAGATGAGAAAATTAAGGCACAGAGAAGTTAAATAACTTGCCTGAAAATAAAGTGCTACTGAATGGAAGTGGAGCCAAAATTCAAACCAAGGCAAATCTGTTGTGTTTTTTTCTGTTTTATTTTTCTTTTTTGTGAGGCAGAGTCTTGCTCTGTCACCCAGGATGGAGTGCAGTGGTGCAATTTTGACTCACTACAACCTCAGCCCCCCTCTTACCAGTTCTAGCCATTCTCCTGCCTCAGCCTCCCGAGTACCTGGGATTACAGACACCTGCCACCACACCCAGCTAATTTCTGTATTCTTAGTAGTAATGGGGTTTCACCATCTTGGCCAGGCTGGTCTTGAACTTCCGACCTCGTGATCCACCCGCCTCGGCCTCCCAAACTGCTGGGATTACAGGCGTGAGCCACTGCGCCCAGCCAACAAATATATATTGATCTTGTATTTATTTTATATAGAAACTCAGAATTGGAAAGGACTCTAGACCTTGTCATGCAGTCCAACTGCCCCATTAGGGAAATAATTCCTGATAGATAGCCATCTATCCTCTGCTCGAATACTCCAGGGCTGGGAGCTCACTCATTTGCAGGCAGTCTATTCTACTGTAGGATGGTTCTCTCTTTCCACCTGCCTCTCTATATAAAAAACATATATTGTCAAAAGACACACTGTCAGATTCCATTGCAGAGATACAGAGGAATCCTGCAAATTGTCCTCTGACAACCCTGCACCCACCTAACTGTAAACTGAAGTCCCATAGTGCCTCTCCAACTCCTGCATAATCTGACCCAGCCCCACTTAACTCATTTTGTAATCTTAGGCAAATAATGTCACCTCATTAAATCTCAATTTCTTCATTTGTAAATGAGATAAAAATTCTAACCTCACATGAGAGATTAAACATAACATGTATAAAGATATGTAGCCTATAGCAAGTACTCAGTAAATACCTGCTGGCATGAATGAATAGTTACAGCAGATGCTAGCCTGACTAGAATACGGTAGCCTAGCCTAATAAGGCATCCTGGCTGAGACAAACCTGGAGCTGTAAATTTAAGGAAGAAAACGAGGGAGTTCATAAAATAAGGGAGCATCAGGGAAGGATCTTTGGGTAGGAAAATAGAGTTTTCAGCTCAACCTAAAAATATAAATTTAAATGTTGCAAGACTGGGGAGGAGGGTCAGGAGGACCCTTTAGCAAAATGCACAATTTGACATGGAAAGTAATTGGGAATCACTCTAGGTTTATAAGCAGTAGAGTAACAGGATCACAGCAGCAGGTCTTGAAAAAGAGAGTTCCTACTGCTATGTAAAGGTTAAAATAGAAACAAAGGAGCAGACTGGGAGACAATGGCTGGTTTAGTTGTTGAGGACTAATCGTTGACATCTAGGATTTTTTTAGTTCTATTATCTATTTTTTTAGTTTTTTGTTTTGTTTTCATTCTGGGCTATCAGCTGGTGTATCTGGCAGCCATCAGGATTGATGGTCTACAGAACCCCTGCATCCCTTATCCTAATAGGTTGTTTCAAACCTGAAACGGGCCAAAAACCAGACAACCAATCTTTGTTCATCATTCATTCACTCACTTATTCATTCATTTATGAATATATCTACCCACAATATTTCATTTATATATATATATACATATACATATATATATATACATCTCTAATATTTTATTACTATCCATAGTAACAACCACCACTGACCTGACTAGACTCTGGGATAATTTGGAAATGAGTAAGACACAGCCACTGCCTTTAAAGGGTTTATTAGACTTCTGGAATAAACAGATTTTAAAAATTAACATACACTAAACAGATTCTGAAGCACCACAAGAGAGAAATGAACAAAATTCCAGGCCAGGGGTTGAAAACAGAGCAAATCAGGCGGCATTTAGCCAGCAAATGTTTTGTTTGGCTCACATGGTGTTTTATTTTTTTTCAGAGTAGATGCTAACATTTAAAAATTTGGCCATTTCACATAAAAACCCAGATTTCTAGCTTCTGGTAAAAACAGGAAGTGCCAAGCACACTAGGCCAAATTCCTGCACGGTGGTAATTGGCAGGAGCTGAGCAGCAGCTGCCCCTTTCAGGGCAAGCATGAGCTCTGCAGTTTGCCATGCTTCCTGCCACTCTATTACTCTCTGATATTGAAGCCAAATGTTCAGCTACCAGCTATTATCAGCTTGTGCTACAGGTACATTTATAATAAATTAAAGGCAAAATGATTTTTAAAAACTCAAATCTGGCCGGGCGCGGTGGCTCAAGCCTGTAATCCCAGCACTTTGGGAGGCCGAGGCGGGTGGATCACGAGGTCGAGAGATCGAGACCATCCTGGTCAACATGGTGAAACCCCGTCTCTACTAAAGGTGCAAAAAATTAGCTGGGCATGGTGGCGTGTGCCTGTAATCCCAGCTACTTAGGAGGCTGAGGCAGGAGAATTGCCTGAGCCCAGGAGGCGGGGGTTGCGGTGAGCCGAGATCGCGCCATTGCACACTCCAGCCTGGGTAACAAGAGCGAAACTCCGTCTCAAAAAAAAAAAAAAAAAAAAACTCAAATCTCTGTTAGAAGTAGAAATAAAAGACGCACTGGCAGGGCTGTGTTGTTTCAAGAAAAACGGGGTGTAGAATACGAGACTATTCCTAGGGAAAACATACAATTCCTAGTGTTTAAGATGCAAACCAACATCTATTTATGTTACCTGCCTGTCTCCTACAGACATCTGAGTTTGCCATCTCTGTAACATAAGGAAAAATTACTGTAGAGGCTGAGAGCATTGACTTTGGAGTGGGGAAGACCTGAGCTTGAAAGCTGGCTCCACCGCTCACTGTGTGACCTTGGCAAATTATCCACCCTCTCTGTGCTTCAGTTTCCTCATATATTAAATAGAGGAAATCATAGTACCTCCCTCAGAGACTGGTGAAGAGACAACAAGATAAAGGATATGAAGTGCTTAGCCAGCGCCTGGCACATAGTGTCGGCTACCACTAGTGCCAAGCACAGAAGAGAGGACCCATCTCCAACGTAAGCCTTGAAGATGTTCAGGATATCCGTGCGAGATGAGAAGAGACAGCCTGCTTTACACAGAGAAAGAGACCTTAGAATGCACAGAACCAAGACAACTAACCTGCTCCAGTGGCCAAAACAGAGGCTTCACAACGATGCTGAATGATTTTCAAAGTCAGGCCGAGACCTATCCAATAAGTAAGGATATGCCAAAATAGACTGTTATGTGACAGATTTAGGCGGTAACAATGGAACAGGACATTAAATGACTGAATCAAAAGGTGACAAGATCATTCGCCTTCAATTCTTTCCAAACTTCCCAATTAGCAGAGACTGTGTTTGATGCTCATTTTGAGCACTTCTCTGATCTTACCTGCCATTCTCCAGTTTTAGAGACTTCAGACCTCTAGTTTAAAGGCTCCCTCGCAACAAGAGCTAGTTTCTTCAGTTTTCTTTCTCTCTACTTTAAGTTTTACTTTTACACTTAGAGCAAGGGACGCTGATTTTATCTTACACTTAGGTCAAATGACACCGTTTTTCACAATGGAGTAATAAAGTTTCCTTGTAAAATGTGAAATTATAATCAAGATAAAATAAATGAGACACTTGAGAGAAAAACGTCAAGTAAACAAATGTATGGGCACTAGGTGGATGTGGCAAGAACTGTGAAGTTTGAGCAGCTTCGTGCTGCGTCGTGGGTGTGAGATGAACCCAAGGCAGCGACAAGGCCAGACCGTGAAGGCAGAGATGCCTCCACCGGCCACTACAGGCGTGATACCTCCCTTTGCCGCTCTCTAAACCTCGGGATTTTCTCCAACCTCCAAGGGGTGGGAGGGTGACCCTGCAGTCTTTCAAGCCGGGGTTCAGGGCCCTCGGCCCAGGCAGCAGGCCCGCTGCCCGCCTCAAACACGCTGCAGCGGTTCGCGCAGTCCCCGCGGGGACTCGGCCTCCCGCTCCTCGCGAATCGCCCCGCTCCTCACCAGTGCTCGGCTTTATCTCTCCACGTCAACACGGCCCTCATCGCGGCTTCCCTCACGTCTCGGGCTCCTCCTCCCCGTCTCTGAAACAGTCTCCGCAACCTCCTCAGTAACTAGTAACAGTAGCCATTTCACAAGCCACTTTGGCTCCGTGAGTTACCCCGGCAACGCACATGCGCATTAAGCTGCGCGCGAGCGCGCCTTTCTCCGACTGCGCAAGTCCGGAAGGGAAGGCGAGCAGAGGAGCAAAAGCAAAGGTGGAACCGGAGCCGAGAAGGCGTCGGCGCAATCGGAGCGCGCGCGATTGGTCGGGGCGTGTGGGGGCGGTGCGTCTTCATCAACGATGGATTTGATTGGTGGAGCGTGGAAATGGCGGCTGTAGCGGAGTGGGCGGTCGAAAAGCAGCGGCGGCGTCGGGGCGCTTTCGAGATCTTCAGAACTCGGTTGCATCCTAGCGCCGCGCCTTGAGGTTTCACATGTAACTCCGCCCTGCATCGTAGCCCTCGGCTACTTGCTGCAGCACGGCTGGGATGGAGAGCCTGAATCTGGGGGACCGCGGAGCTGCCCCCGCAGTCTCCTCCAGTGAGCACCTAGTCGCAGACCCGCCGAGTGACCTCCGGCAAGTTACTGTCTCCTTTCGGGCCTCAGTTTACCACCTGTAAAATGGGATCGGGAGAGTGGACTGTGTGTGGGCCTTTCTAACCTTTGACAGAGGGTCGGCAGAAACCTTAAGGCCCACCGGTTTAGTTACTAGGAGCTGGGACTGCAGCTCAGATGCTCTTCCTATGGGATCAGCCCTGGGGTGCGCCCAACTTCCTCATCCAAGATGACTAGGGAGCTGGGGGAGCCGGGAGGTTTTGTGCAAGAGGTACGCTTGGGTTGGAGGATCCTAGGAAGTCATTTGAGAACGTGTGTGATAGGAGGTTCAGATTTACCTACGTTTTTCAAAATGTAATCCTCAGAACTACCTTGAAAGAGGCATCACCTTCTTTTTACAGTTTTTTTACAGAGACTTTGAGACGATAAGTAACTTGCTGTTAGACTTACACAGCTGGCAGAGCTGGGATTTGAGCCCCAGTCTCTTAAGAATTTTTGCTGATTCCACCGGGCTTCAGTATCTTTATCTCTAAAACTGTAAACAATATTATTTCATAAGATCTATCAAAGGCCGGGCGCGGTGGCTCAAGCCTATAATCCCAGCACTTTGGGAGGCCTAGGCAGGTGGATCACGAGGTCAACAGATCGAGACCATCCTGGTCAACATGGTGAAACCCTGTCTCTACTAAAAATACAAAAAAATTAGCTGGGCATGGTGGCTCGTGCCTGTAATCCCAGCTACTCAGGAGGCTGAGGCAGGAGAATTGCCTGAACCCAGGAGGCGGAGGTTGCGGTGAGCCAAGATTGCGCCATTGCACTCCAGACTGGGTAACAAGAGTGAAACTCTGTCTCAAAAAAAAAAAAAAAAAAAAAAATCTGTCCAGCTCCTCAAAATTATTTTACCCCAAATTACAACAGAAAACCTTGGTTCTAATTCTAGTTCTTGCATAGTTTCCCTATTTGTAGAAAGTAAGTTGGGTTAGATGATCTCTCCAGAACCATCCACCACCTTTTACAAGCTGTAGTTTAGTGATTAGGATACATTTGACAGAAATATTTCTTTTTTTCATTTTTAAATTATGTTTTCATCATAGAAGATACACTGGAACTTTAATGAAGTTTTAGTTTAGTTTTTTGGTGGGTTTTTTTTTTTTTTTTGAGATTTTTCTGTCACTCAGGCTGGAGTGCAGTGGCACAGTCATAGCTCCCTGAAGTTTTGACCTGCCAGGCTCAAGCAATCCTCCTGCCTCGGCCTCCTTAGTAGCTGGGACCACAGGCATGTGCCACCATGCCCGGCTACTTGTTTTTTTCATTTTTTGTAAAGACAGGGGTCTCCCTGTATTGCCCAGGTTGGTCTCCAACTCTTGGGCTCAGGTGATCTTCCCATCTCCTCCTCCCAAAGTGCTGATCTTACAGGCCTGAGCCACCTTGCCTTGCCAGCTTTTTTCAATAATAGTATGTGGGAGAAGTATTAACCAAGATTTGGTAGACCTGGGTTCTGGTGTCTGTTTTGCAAGTAATTTAACCTTTCTGTCCATGTTATCAATTTCACTCAATTTTATCAATAAATTGAGAGTAAACCTTATTATACCTACAAGGTTACCAAGAGAATCAAGAATGAAGGAGATTCAAAAATTCTGTATCAGAAATTATTTACCTTCTGGAGGGTTACATCTGATGAAAGTGATAGACACTCTCTCCCAGAAATTTTACATTATGTAAAACCTTTACCTCACTTATTTGCAGAGAAGTCAGCATGACTGACTGATATATTTAAGCATTTTCTGTTGCTTAAGAGCTCAGCTATTGGTTCATATTCTCAAATTTATGCTAAGTAACCCCAGAAATCTTTATAATAGCCCTACTCAGTGATTAATCCAAAAAGTTTCTAGCTTGACCTTTTTGTTGTGCAGAGATTTCCAACACTTTTTAACCTGTGCTGTAGCATATGGGAAGCTTTTGGAGGATAGGAAAATACTCCCATAGCATAAGACTGGTCCATACTGACTTTAATCTCCCCCATTTTATTTAGTTAGTTAGTTAGTTATTTTTTGAGATGGAGTCTCGCTCTGTCACCCAGGCTGGAGTGCAGTTGCGGCACAATCTTGGCTTCCTGCAACCTCCACCTCCTTGGTTCAAGCAATTCTCCTGTCTCAGCCTCCCGAGTAGCTGAGACTATAGGCGCCTGCCACCACCACACCTGGCTAATTTTTGTATTTTTAGTAGAGACGGGGTTTCACCATATTGGTCAGGCTGGTCTCGAATTCCTGACCTCAGGTGATCCACCAGCCTCGGTCTCCCAAAGTGCTGGGATTATAGGTGTGAGCCACCACACTCGGCCAGTCTCCTCCATTTTAATGTGAAAAATCTGTATGGTTCCCGAATTGTCATGGATTAAAACTGAGCAGGCAGTTGAAGATAAATTTTAAATAAGTTAATCACTTAGATGTTATTTTTCCAGCAAGGAAGATGGTGCTATGGAATTGGAAAGAGTGGGAGAAGATGAGGAACAAATGATGATGAAAAGAAGCAGTGAATGTAATCCCCTGCTACAAGAACCCATCGCTTCTGCTCAGTTTGGTGGTACTGCAGGGATGGTATGCCATAAGTCTGCCCCGTGTGGATGGGAAAGAGTTGTGAAGCAAAGGTTATTTGGTAAAACAGCAGGAAGATTTGATGTATACTTTATCAGGTAAGCATATAAGATGGTAAAGACAGTACAGCCAAATAATTTTGTCTGGGCAGATAATGGGAGCATAGTAGGAATCTTGGCTTCTTTATATTTTTACCATAAAACATTTGCAGATTCTATTCTTTCAATGTCGCTATTTAATTATATCAAGTAATTTGGTGAAAATTACATACATTTTGTCCCTCATTACTGTGAATGGTTAATGGGTAGGTTGCATTTAAGTTATATTTTTAAATTATTTTATATCGTCATAGAGGAAACCATTTAAAAGTGCCGTTTATCACTCTTTTTCATTTTTAAATAACAGATGCCCATGGCAACATTTGGAAATTAATTTGAAATCTGAAATGTGATCCAGTTTTTTAAAAAGTCCCTTCTATTTGCTAGCAGTAAGTTTCCTTTAATATCATTTTCTAGCCCACAAGGACTGAAGTTCAGATCCAAAAGTTCACTTGCTAATTATCTTCACAAAAATGGAGAGACTTCTCTTAAGCCAGAAGATTTTGATTTTACTGTACTTTCTAAAAGGGGCATCAAGTCAAGATATAAAGAATGCAGCATGGCAGCCCTGACATCTAATCCTCAAAACCAAAGTTCAAACTGGAACCTCAGGACGCGAAGCAAGTGCAAAGAGGATGTGTTTATGCCGCCAACAAGTAGTTCAGAGTTGCAGGATAGCAGAAGACTCTCTAAGTTTACTTCCACTCATTTGCTCTTGAAAGAAGATGAGGATGTTGATGATGTGCACTTCAGAAAGGTTAGAAAGCCCAAAGGAAAGGTGACAATTTTGAAAGGAACCCCAATGAAGAAAACTAGAAAAGGATGCAGGAAGAACCATTCAGGTGTTGCTCAAAGTGATAGCAAAAGAGAATCTGTGTGTAATAAAACAGATGCTGAAAGTGAGCCTGTTGCACAAGCAAGTCAGCTTGATAGAACTTTCTGCATTTCTGATGCTGGAGCATGTGGTGAGACCCTCAGTGTGACCAGCGAAGAAAAGAGCCTTGTAAAAGAAAGATCATTGAGTTCAAGATCAAATTTTTGTTTTGAACAAAAAACTTCTGGCATTGTAAACAAACTACATTCAGCCAAACACGCAGAACACAACAAGAAGTATGAGGATACCTTTTTAGAATCTGAAGAAATCGGAACAAAAGTAGAAGTTGGGGCGAGGAAGGAACATTTGCATATTGACCTTTTAAAACATGGCTCTGAAATAGACAACTGCCCACCAACCAAGAAAGACTTTACTGGTGAGAAAATATTTCAAGGTATCCACTGCGTTCAAGCACTGTTAAACATTATGTGATGAGGAATTTATAATCCTGCCTCTTGTATTCATGCCTGTACATGGTTAAGGTGGGAAAATAGAGCCAAGAAATATGGCCAAATATGAGATACTTCCTACCAGTTGATCCTAACACTTTATCTAACTGATCTTCTAGCAGTTTCCTATGGCAGAGAGAAAATCAGCTGACTACAGTCATGATGTCACGGCAAAGGAGAGTATTACTGTTAACAGCTGCCGTGGTCGCTTTCTGGTGCAGCAGCTGGGACTCTCCTCCTTAGCAGCGCTTTCCCTTCTTCCCATTCTCTTTCCAGCCAATGATCTTAAAACTTGAGGGAAAATTAAAAGTCTTCACTTGTGAAAAATTTAGGGAAGGCTTATATACATAAATGGGTGGAGACTATTTGGTGCCTTCTGTTCGCACCCCAATTACTACTAAGTGTGACTTCCAATATAATTTTGTATATATCATAGTAATTTTTATCTTCTATTATAATGTAATGCTTCTCTAAAATGCTTTAGAGCTCTAAATAATTCAAAAGTATAATCACATAGTTCATCAATTATTTGTAATATGCTCTTAATACAGAATTCAGAACTTAGCAGTTTTGTCTTTATAATACCTCAGTGAGTAAGAGATAAAAAGGAGACCTTTGAGCTGCCTTGTATTAGGTATTCATTATGCCATTATGGTATAATGAATAACTCCTTTAAAGAATAATAATTTTACTTAAATTCCTGTGGGGAAACAGCCTAGACACATTTGTGAAGCAGATTAGATTTGATTCTTGCTCCCAGTCCTACCAATGATTTTATGTCTTTTCTGTGCCTGGAATTTCTGTGCTTTTAACACAAGATGGCCATATATACCTAGAAACTGTGTAAGAATTCTTCAAGTCTGCATCCTAAGCACTGAGCTGCTTTTTTTTTTTTTTTTTTTTTTTGAGATGGAGTTTCGCTCTTGTTACCCAGGCTGGAGTGCAATGGCACGATCTCGGCTCACCGCAACCTCCGCCTCCTGGGTTCAGGCAATTCTCCTGCCTCAGCCTCCTGAGTGGCTGGGATTACAGGCACACGCCACCATGCCCAGCTAATTTTTAGTATTTTTAGTAGAGACGGGGTTTCACCATGTTGACCAGGATGGTCTCGATCTCTTGACCTCGTGATCCACCCGCCTCGGCCTCCCAAAGTGCTGGGATTACAGGCTTGAGCCACCGCGCCCGGCCTGAGCTTCTTAAAGAAAGCTTTGAGGTTTACGTAGATTTATTGCTAGCAAAATGGACAAATTAAATATTTAAAACTTTCTTGTGATAAGATGGAAATAGCATATTCATCCTATACTTAAAGGAGTCTAATTCTCGGCCGGGTATGGTGCTCACACCTGTAATCTCAGCACTTTGGGAGGCCAAGGAGGGTGGATCACTTGAGATTGGGAGTTCGACACCAGCCTGACCAACACGGAGAAACCCTGCCTCCAAAAACTCCAAAAATTAGCCAGGCATGGTGGCATACGCCTGTAATCCCAGCCACTTGGGAGGCTAAAGCAGGAGAATCACTTGAACCCAGGAGGTGGAGGTTGAGGTGAGCTGAGATCACGCCATTGCACTCCAGCCTGGGCAAAAAGAGCGAAACTCCATCTCAAAAACAAAAAAAAAGTCTAGTTCTCATCATGAAATGAAGTACTCTTACGTTACTAGGTGTCCCATGAAATAGTAAAAACTCCCATTGGCTTAGCTAGAAATTGCCAAGTAAACTTGGCATAAAGGAGACTAGTTGGTAATTATTTATAGGAGCCCAGAGAAAATGTTGTCAAATAACTAGTCAGAGCAGTTTCCTTTGTTCTGTTTTTTACTCTCTACTGAGCTTTACCTATTCAAAGTAAAAGGGCAAAAAAACACTAGTCTAATTATCTGGAGACCTGGATACTTGTCCAAGTTTATAGTCAATCCCATTATCATTTTGGGATGATTGCTTAATTTCAAAGCCTTAGTTTCTTCATCTGTAAAATAGAGGTAACCACACCAAAAATACTGTAAAATAAAAAGAGAAGTGAAAAAGATGCTATACAAATGCAAGGTATTATTAACCGATATTCAAATTGAGAGGGTATGGCTAAGGAGTATTACATGTGATTTTAGAAATTTGAGAAGTCTGGTAACACTGGTTCTCAGTAGATAGAGGTTCTCAATAGGTAGTTGTCTCAGGTGCTCCAGGGTTTTTCTGTAGACTGTTTTGTCTGATTCCCTCTTTTTTTTTTTTTTTTTTTTTTTTTGGTAAATGTAAAAGTAAGTATTTGCTGCAGAAATTTTGGAGAATATAGAAAAGTAAAGAAGGAAAGAAAAATTAGCACTTAGCAACAACTGTCATATCACTTTGGTTTATTTCATCCTTAACCTCTGTTTTTATTTATATATATTTCCCCTTTTTATAAAATTGGGATCATATGTAGACCATTGCTTTTTTTTCACTTAAAAGTTAATGGGAAAATACACATAATAGTGTCTCAAAAATATTTTAATGACCACATTATACAAATGTATCATAATTAAATATATTCCATACTGCTTTTAATTTTTTTTTTTTTTTTTTGAGACGGAGTTTCACTCTTGTTACCCAGGCTGGAGTGCAATGGCGCGATCTCGGCTCACCGCAACCTCCGCCTCCTGGGTTCAGGCAATTCTCCTGTCTCAGCCTCCTGAGTAGCTGGGATTACAGGCACGCGCCACCATGCCCAGCTAATTTTTTTGTATTTTTCGTAGAGACGGGGTTTCACCATGTTGACCGGGATGGTCTCGATCTCTTGACCTCGTGATCCACCTGCCTCAGCCTCCCAAAGTGCTGGGATTACAGGCTTGAGCCACCGCGCCCGGCTTAATTTTTCAATACTATGAACTCTGAATGTAAATTGTAAAGAACTAGTGTCACAGAGTGCTTAAGGGTGAGGACTCAGGAGCCAGACTGCCTGGATTTGGATTTTAGCTCTGACACTTAATATCTGTGTGACCTTGAGCAAGTTACTTAGCTCCTCTGTGCTTCAATGTCCTTATCTGTAAAGTGGAGATAAAATAGTACCAAGTTCGTGGGTCATCAGTCAGATTAGTTGGGTAATTTATGTAAAGGGCTTAGAGTTGTGCCTGGCATACTTTATAATAGCGTTGATATTATTATTTGCATCCCTGAATATTCCTGTAAGCTAAACATAGACTCAATAAAGTGTTCACTTTTCCTTTTCAGAAGATGCCATCCCACGAACACAGATAGAAAGAAGGAAAACAAGCCTGTATTTTTCCAGCAAATATAACAAAGAAGGTATCCCTTTCCCAATCAGAACAGCGAATTCTAATTCTATTTTGGGTTTTCAATTCTGATGCACTATGTTTGTTTAGCTCTTAGCCCCCCAAGACGTAAAGTCTTTAAGAAATGGACACCTCCTCGGTCACCTTTTAATCTTGTTCAAGAAACACTTTTTCACGATCCATGGAAGCTTCTCATCGCTACTATATTCCTCAATCGGACCTCAGGTTTGGGGATTATTATCATCTTTGTCTTAGTAGAGACAGTGTGGTAAAGAGAAAGCACTGAATTGGCGCCTGGGTTCAAAGTCCATTTTGAGTGTGTCACCTGGGATAAGGCATTCCCCCTTTACCCTGAAACTCTTCACCTATGAGGAAGTTAGACTAGATGATATCCAACAGACCTTTTAGAATAAAGAAGTAGATTTTCATTTATTTTCGACTTCCAAATTAGTTTTGATGGCCAATGAAAATCAGTTAACATTTCTCCACCCTCTGTTGTGTGTGTTTAAAAGTATCTTTTTTAGTGAATGTACCTTGTGTTCTATGTGCTTCTACTCTTATTATCTGCTGATCTGATTATTTAAAAGCTAATCATGCAAGGCCAGTTTTCAGCAGAATTTGGACTGTTAGCCCAATATAGTAACAGTGTTGGCATTAGATTCTGAAATGGTTACTGGTTCAGATAATGGCTTCTCACCAGTGGTTTTTTTTTTTTTTACCCTCTGGATGAGATTTCTAGATGAGAAACTACTTGAACGTGAAATCAGCCCATCTAGAGTCTTGTAAGCATACAGTTACTTTTACTTCCCAGGCAAAATGGCAATACCTGTGCTTTGGAAGTTTCTGGAGAAGTACCCTTCAGCAGAGGTAGCAAGAAACGCAGACTGGAGAGATGTGTCAGAACTTCTTAAACCTCTTGGTCTCTACGATCTTCGGGCAAAAACCATTGTCAAGTTCTCAGGTACTTTCCCATATACCCAAAGGAAAAACATAATACATTGTGCCTATTGAAGAGAGCCACACCTTAAACTTTAATGTCCTCAAATACTATATTAATGGAGGTTTTTCAGCTCAAGCACCGAAGGCATTTTAAAAAGTCCACTTTCCCCAAATCACAGTCTCCCACTGACCCAAACAATAAATCTCTGCCCGATACTAGGTCAGGCATGTGAGCAGAATTAGGGGAAGAAGTCAGTGAAGCAGAAAGCCTAGTTCTTGACCTCAAGGACATAACCTCTATCTCGTTAGCACAGCACAAAATAGTGGTTAGGAATTGGCAAATGATATGGGTGCTGCAGGAATTCAGAAGGAAGAGCAGTCACAGCTGGGGTTGCCAGGAAAGAGCCTTTTCTGCCTTTTCTGCTATTCTCTCCATCCTGCCCCATCACCACATATTTTGGGAGGGTATCTTTAGAAGCTGACCTGATATGTGGGATGTTGTATTCCCCAGATGAATATCTGACAAAGCAGTGGAAGTATCCGATTGAACTCCATGGGATTGGTAAATACGGCAACGACTCTTACCGAATTTTTTGTGTCAATGAGTGGAAGCAGGTGAGGCCCACTCCCATCCATAATTAAGCACATTTAGTCTCTGAAACAAAATAAGTCCACCATTATGGTTAAAACTATTTATTGGACACAAATGCTATTACAGTCGCAACCGATTTTGTTCCTGGCTGCTGGGAAGCGGGTGGCATGGGGATTTTGGGGTTTTTGATCTGTAGGCACTCCCAAGTCCACAGGACCAGTCCAGAGGCCCGGCCTCTGACTCCTCTCCAGTGGTTTGCAGCCTGTGGCCCTCCTACTGTCCGTCCCCATCTGTGTGCCGTCTCTAAGCCCGACATAGTTTTCCTTCTGTCAAAGGTACACCTCTCTAGGAAATTAGGAAGTTTTGGGCCTAGGTTATATGCTTGTTGGGTTTCTCTTAGTGGTCTCAGACTACTTTTGTGATGACTAGGTCCTACTTCAGCCCTCTTAAATATGCCCAGCCCTCATGCTGGTGGCATCCTGGCAGCTGGTGGGTGGTCTGGTGTCCTGCCCACTCAGCTTGAGACTCACCTTCATGCATTGAGCCAGTAGGTCTGGTTGAGCCTGAACTGAAGGACCACGGTCCTATCCCTGCTTCATCAGAGCAATTTATTGTGACCATTTAACCTCTTAGGGTCTATAACTTCCTTCTGGAAAGTGGGAGGTACTTGGCTCATGTCATCACCACCCCACACTCCAGTTCATGGTGTGTAGTAATTTGGACAGTACTTTGTAAACTTTATGGGATTACCTTAACATAAGGTATAACTTAAAACATTCAAGAATCCCATGAGGTTAAAGTGTGTGTTAGGTATATTATCATAATGTACTGTCCCCCAGCAAACATTTTAAAAGCCCATTTAAAAAAATATATTTCTGACTAAGTTACATTAAGGTCTTTGCCTCCTTGTGTGTTGTATTTCTTCCAGGTGCACCCTGAAGACCACAAATTAAATAAATATCATGACTGGCTTTGGGAAAATCATGAAAAATTAAGTCTGTCTTAAACTCTGCAGTTTTCAAGCTCATCTGTTATACATAGCATTGCACTTCAAAAAAGCATTATTCAGTACAGCCAACCATCTTTCCAGCCGTTTAGATTTTAATTAGCGCAACTAGAAGCCTAGTGTGTGTGCTTTCTTAATGTGTGTGCCATGGTGGATCCTTGCTACTGAATGCTTGAACATGTTTTGAGATTTTTTAAAAAAATAAATGATTTGACAACAATCTTAAAAATGTCTATGGCTTTTCCAATAATGAAATGTAGTCAAAAGGTGAAAAATACCTTTCTAAACTATCAATAATGCAAAGCAAATTTCTATCAACCTTGCTAAAGGAAGGGTCTCACTAAATATTTTTATGGCAGGTGTGGTGCTGTACTGTAATCTAGGGAGGCTGAGGCAAGAAGATCATTTGAGCTCATGAGGGCCCAGGAGGTCCAGGCTGCAGTGAGCTGTGCTCATGCCACTGCACTCCAGTCTGGATGAAAGAGAAACCCTGTCTCAAAAAATACATATTTTTTTAAAAAGCTAACTCCTAAAGACAAATAAGATTCCTCTGGCATTGTGTATTGTTGACAGCTCCACCCTGGCCCTTAGGAATTGTAGATTCCATCCCAGCATCCGTTTAATACCCTAATGTGAGTGTCTGTTGCTGCTCCATTTCAGCTCACTTGCTCTGCCTTTTACCCTGGTCCCTGTGTGAAAACTCATCTCTCTTCCATTTGGAGTTTTATACCATTTCACTAGGCACAGTGGCTTACACCTATTCTAGCACTTTGAGAGGCTGAGGCAGGAGGATTGCTTGAGCCCAAGAGTTCAAAACCAGAGTGGGCAACATAGTGAGACCCCCATCACTACAAAAAAATTTTTAAAAATTAGTCAGGCCTGGTAGCACACACCTGAGGTCCCAGCTACTCAAGGCTGAGGTGGGAGGATCACTTGTGCCCAGGAGATTGAGGCTACAGTGAACTATGATTATACTACCGCACTCCAGCCTGGATGACACAGCAAGACCCTGTCTCAAAAGAAAATAGTAAGTCTTATGCCATTTTTATTACAGGTATTGTTATAGTTAAAATACCAAAGCATTTACTATTAGAAAGAAACCAAGCGAAAAAACTAGTTATTAAGTCTTAATTAGCAACTACCATTTTAAGGTATAATTTCAAAATTAAATGGATCGAATAAGTGAAAAATAAACAGTTCAAAAAACTGCCTTTGTTGTAGGGCAGTGTGGACCAAATCGGGCTGCAGCGTGATGCAGAGGTAGTTGGTTGTTTCCACTTTAGTGTCAGGTTTTAGAAGGATGGGTTTTGACCAGAGAACAGGGAAACTGGCCGCACCTCCCTCTCCTCTAGGCAAACATCTGCTTTATAATTTCTAATCACACTCTCATTTAACAAACATCCAAGTCGCATTCACAAAGTGCAAAGTCCTGTGCTAGGGAGGGGCACAAAGATAACCAACAGTTCTGTACAGACCCTCACAAAGAGAAAGAAGGGCACCCGATAATGGAAGGAAACAAAATGGGTAAGATGTAGGGACAAGACACCCAAATATGGCAGCTAAGGGTAGAGAGGGACCTCTGAAATCTTGGGCCTAGCTGGGGCTGGAGAGTGTGGGGCAAGCTCAGCGTATCAGGTGTGGCTTCGTGGCACGGCTGGTGGTCACATCCCTTCCTTCTCCCCAGCATCTCCATGGGGAGAGTGGGCCTGTGTGAACGCAGGAGGCGAGCTCTGCTCCAGTGGAGCTCAGGACACAGCCAGGTTGCTCAGGCTATAGGCCTGGCTTTTCCCCTTTCTTGCAGGTGAGGTTGCCTGACCTCTGTACCTGTTAACTCTTCTTTGAAAAATGGGATTGTGGTGTCTACCTTACACAATGATTGTAATTATGAAGTTTAGACGTGCTAAAATGGTGCCTGGCTTGCAAGAGTGCTGTGTCAATGTGGCCCAACCGTCTCAGGTTGAGAGGCTCACAAAGATAGCTTGTCTGAACAAAGGAATAAGTGCTCAGGTGTTTAAACTTTTTAAAAATTGAGCTAAAAGCCATCATATAACCATTTTAAAATGTACAATTCAATGGTTTTAGTACATTTACAATGTACAGCCATCATCACTAATTCCAGAAGTTTGTGTTTTTTTCCACTCCAGAAAGAAGCTCCCCACCTGTTAGCAGTCACTTCCAATTCTCACCACCATCTCCTGGCAACCATTAATCTGCTTTCCGTGTCTGTAGGTTTGTCTATGCTGAACATTCCACATAAATGGAATCATACAGCACGTGGCCTGTTGTGTCTAGCTTCCTGCTTAGCATACTATTTTTAAGGTTCATCCATACTGTAGCATGTACTTCATTCCTTCTTACGGCCATCCTATGGCTATACCTCATTTTGTTTATCAGGTGATGCACATTTCAAGGGTTTATTATTCTCCGGTCCTCAGGTTCTGTAATCCAAACTACGGCACCCTGCCATAAGTGAGGCAGAACATACCAAACACCCTGCCTCTATCTGGCCACAGCTCACTTTGGTTCTTCCTAACCCTTTGGCGGAGGCAGGGCCTATTTTTCCCATGAGAAAACTGAGGCTTAGAGATAATAGAGACCTGCGGAAGACCCCATACTTCACGGGAAACCCGGGAACTTTCTACACCAGAATCAGGGGCCACTGGGCCGAACAAAGAAATCGCGCCTTTCATCAGGCCCAGAACTGAGCACAGAGTGGATTGGCTCGCCGCCTCTTCCAGAATTGGACGGAAAAGGAGGTGGGGTCACCAGGCGCTCGGCGGGGAGGGCTCGCTCCTGGCACGTGGCAGCGTCCAGCCAATCGGCGCGGGGCGTCCGTAGCCAAGGCAACAGGTTGCTTCTGCCGTCCGCACTGAGCGCCTTTCGCAGGACTTGGGGTTACTGTATTTCTGGTACCCCGGTACCCCCACGTGAGCAAGCCCACAGCAACACACATTTACACACACCCTTCAGCACCCCCTCTCAGCACCGCGACCATGGACGATGACTATGAAGCGTACCACAGTCTGTTCTTGTCGCTGCTCGGTAAGTCCCGGGAAGCAGCGTCTGCAGAAAGCGCTCAGTGCCCTCGGGACGTGTGAAAGCGCGGTGAGGGCAAAAACTAGGCCACAGATCTCATTGTGTCGTCCCCCTGCGGATGAGGGGTTGCCATGGAGTCGGGGGCAGGTTATGTACATTTCTGAGATTTCACCTGGGCCTAGTTGGAGTAGCAAGGCAAGTTGCCTTGCCTTGGAACCAGAGGCCCGACCCATGTGACGGGAGCCTTCCAGATCGCCCTGTTTCTCTGCGGGACATTAATGTATTCAGTACTGGAGGAGAGGCATGGAGATGTCAGTCTTCAAAGTTTTGACAGTAATATGCTAGGGACCAAGTTCTTGGCAAAGCAATGCAGCTTCACAGGTAAAGGACAGAGATGAATGGATAATTACAGGATAAGAAGGGTGAATGCCGGGCCCAGGGATGACATCCAGGAATAAAAGATGTGCTGAGGGTATAGGATGGGGAGGAACAGTTCGAAGCTCCTGGAAAAGATCTTTACAGGGGAGCTTAAAGGATAAAAGGGCGTTCTCCAAGCCAAAAGGAGAAGGAGAAGCATTTCGGGCAAGAAAACAGCATGCCACAAGAGGTCTAGTGTTTGAGTGTCTCTGGAAATGAGGTGAGGGAGGTCAGAAAGGACAAGATCATGAACGAACCTGCAAGCCAGGAGATGGAGAGGCCATTGGGAGTGGCAGAACTGGATTAGGAGCAGTCAGCAAAGGCCTGACACTGAGTTGGTAGACTCGGAATGTTGGTGTGGGGAGAGAAGAGCTGGGGCTGTAAAGCTTGAAGACTGAAGGTCTTCTCCATGCCCCTTCTCCAGCACTGAACACATCAATGCCCAGTGGAAAAACGGGGCGAGCTGGAGAGCCTGGCCACGTTCCCCAGGCACACAGGTCAGGGCTCTGGTCAAATGCCCAGGCTAAAGATGCTGGGAGGTGAGGGAGAAGACCCAGGCTAGAGGGTACTACAGGGACTTAGGGCCTGGTTGGTCAGGGAACACAGAAGAGGCAAATAAAGATAGTGCTCCAGTTGGCAGCTGGGGGACCTGGTAGATAGAGGTGTCGTCCACAGAGATAGAGAACGTACTCACAGGACCCAGTTAGTGGGGGCAGGAGCACAAAGACAAATCTAGTCTTGGTTGGTTGAGTTTAAGATCCTTGTCAGTGGCTGGGCACAGTATCTCCCGCCTGTAATCCCAGCACTATGGGAAGCCAAGGCAGGAGGATTGCCTGGGCCACATAGTGAGATCCCATCTCTAAAAAATTGTTTTTAAAAGTTAGTTGGGGCCGGGCGCGGTGGCTCAAGCCTGTCATCCCAGCACTTTGGGAGGCCGAGGCGGGTGGATCACGAGGTCAAGAGATCGAGACCGTCCCGGTCAACATAGTGAAACCCCGTCTCTACTAAAAATACAAAACATTAGCTGGGCATGGTGGCATGTGCCTGTAATCCCAGCTACTCAGGAGGCTGAGGCAGCAGAATTGCCTGAACCCAGGAGGCGGAGGTTGCGGTGAGCTGAGATCGCGCCATTGCACTCTAGCCTGGGTAGCAAGAGTGAAACTCCGTCTCAAAAAAACAAACAAAAAAAAAAGTTAGTTGGTTATAATGGCATGCACCTGTAGTTCCAGCTACTCAGGAGGGTGAGCTGGGAGGAGGATCATTTGAGCCTAGGAGTTCAAGGCTGCAGTGAGCTGTGATTGAGCCACTGTACTCCAGCCTGGGCAACAGAGCAAGACCTTGTCTCAATTAAAAATAAATAATAAAAAGAGATCTCTGTAAGCCATCCAAGGGGAGATGTTTTAGGAGCAACTGGAGGTATAAACTTGAAGCTAATTCCAAATAAAAATTTGGAATCAAAAATATTGGTATGGGTATTCCCAGCATATAGAAGGTCATAGAAACATGAGAGTGGAAGGGATTATTTGAAAAGCGAAGAGAGCCTGGGTATAAGCCTGGAAAGCATCAACCTTTAAGGAATAGACAGGAAAAGAGGGACCCAAAAACAGTAGCCAGAGAGGTAGAACTGGACTTAGCGAGAGATTGAATCAAGCCAAGAGCAGGGAGAATTTCAAGAAAGAGTGGTATTATTTCCAGACACCTATAGGCTGTCCGAGAAAAGAGAGCACAAGTGTGTTTCCTGGGACCTCCCTGAGGAGGACCAGAATCAAGGGGTAGAAAGTCTAGGGAAACAAATTCTGGGTCAATGTAAGGAAGTATTTTCTAGCAGTCAGAGCTCAGTGCCCACCGGGTTAAGTAGAAAGCTCCACGTCACTGGAGGTGTATAAAGGGAGGCAAAGTCTGCCAGTGGCACTGAGGAAAGCGTCCCTGACCTGGGCATGTGATTGAACTAGTTGACATCTGGGAGCTTTCCTCGCCAATTTCCTTGGAACATTGTTACACTGTCTCTATCCGTAACTACACAATGACAGCTTCTTTTAGTAGAAGAGCCCACTTCCCTTTCTGTCAATGGACACAGGACTCCAAAGAGGACTAGAATGAAGCTCCCTGTGTTGGGCAGGCACCCTTGGAAAGGGTGGTCAGGAGCTTGTGCAGGTTTAGAACTATGTAAGGAGAAGGGCTCGGCCAGGGGAAGCCCTGGAGAATGCAGTGCTCTTCAGAGGGCACAGCAAATGCAAAGAAAGGAGTGAGGCGCCTCAGACAACAGAAAGGAGGACAGTGCAGCTGGGACCGCATGGGGGTGCTGGGAGCTTACAGGGAAGAGTGGGGAGCAGGGCCAGTGAAGGCAGCTTTGCAGGCCACAGAAGGAGGCAGGTATTTATTCAAAGAGCACCAAGAAGCCATTGAATGGTTTCAAATGAGGAAGGGACATTCTGAATTTACATTTGTAAGGCTCTCCTGGCTGAGGGCGGAACAGGGATTGGGGATCCAGGAAGGATGCAAATGGGAGCAGCAAGACTGTGCGGAGAGCAGGTGTTCTGTTCCCGTGGTCTACAGGGCGAAGTTTCAATCTCTTAGCCTGGCATTTGAGATGACGCCAACCTTGTTTTCCACTAACCTCCTCCTTTACACAGTGTGCTTCCAACATGTGGAACTGTCTGGTGACCCTAAAATCCCTAAATCCCACCCCTGACCTTTTCCCATCCCACCCCTCCACCCCTTGAAACCAGACCATTATTGAAGGTCTACATCAAAGACACCTCTTCCTTGATGCCCTCCCAGTTCCCACAATCAGAGTTTCTCCCCCAATTGAGAACATCTTGTTGCCCTCTGGGTGCCCCACCTTGTTCCATTGGGTGCACTGGGATTGGGTGAACCATGGTAGGTGCCCAGCCTGGTTTAATCTGCACCTGGTAAAGCACCAAGCCCTAGAGGATTCTCAACATATACTGGTTTGATGACTAACTACATTCTCAGTCATCCCCTGCTGGGAGTGGACTTTTTTGTGTGGTCAAAGTAACGATTCTCGTGATGTTTAGAAGGGCTCACGTCCATCCCTATCGATGTGTGATAGTCTGTCCTCACATTGCAATAAGGAACTACCTGAGACTGGGTAGAAATGAGGTTTGATCGCCTCACCGTTCCTCAGGCTGTACAGGAAGCATGACTGGGACGGCCTCAGGAAACGTACGATCGCGGCAGAAGGCAAAATGGAAGCAAGCACATCTTACATAACCCAAGAAGGAGGAAGACAGAGCAAGGGGAGGTGCTACGCATTTTCGAACCAACAGATCTCGTGAGCACTCACTATCTTGAGAACAGCAAGGGGGACATCCTCTCCCATGAGCCAATAACCTCCACTAGGCCCCTCCTCCAACAGTGGGGATTACAATTTGACATGAGATTTGGGCAAGGACACAGATGCAAACCATGCCATGATGTTTACTTTTGTTGTTTGCTGACTACGAAAGGAACACACGGGCCTTCTAAAGAGACTTAACAAATGTACTGAATGTCCACTTTAGGCCAGGCTGGGCACCAAGGACACAGGGGGAAAAAAGACACAGTCCTTGACACTGGGAAACTCACAGGCTGCTGGGAAAGAAAAATGCAGAAAGTATCTTCATTTCAGAAAACTATGGTAAATGCCATGATGGGACTAAGTATAGGGGCTATGGGACCCAGAGGGACCATGAGAGAGGGAGGGGGAGGGCTTCAAGGGGCCTGGGATGCCTGATGAGTCTCACAGGATGAGTAGGGGATCAACAAGTGAAGAGGGAGGGAGAAGAGCATGTCACACGGCTCGTGTGTGTGTTGGTGGGGCCAATCTGTTTGGATACAAACGCAAGGGAAGGCAGAAAGGGCCAGAGAAGGAGCCAGAGAAATCAGAGAAGCTGGCAGGGGTGAGAGGACCAAGTGGGACCAGGTTAAGGAGCTTGATCTTTATTCTAGAGGCAGTTGGGAGCCATGGACAGGTTTTAAGCAAGGGAGTTTGGGGAGTTTGGGTTTTAGGAGGAAAATGACAGTGACAGTATTTCCAATAAGAGTGTTATATCCCTTCTGAATTTTTTAATTTTTTTGAAAAAGGGTCTCACTCTGTTGCCCAGGCTGGATTACAGTGGGGGTAATCTCAGCTCACTGTAGCCTTGACCTCCCAGGCTCAAGTGATCCTCCTACCTCAGCCTCCCAAGGAGCTGGGACCACAGAGGTGCACCACCACGCCTGGCTAGTTTTAAAGACTTTTTGTACAGATGAGGTCGCACTATGTTGCCTAGGCTGGTCTTGAATTCCTGGGCTCAAGCAATCTTCCCACCTCAACCTCCCAAAGTGCTTGGATTACAGGCATAAGCTACCATGCCTGGCCCCTTCTGATTTTTTAGAACACTTTCAAACTGTATCTCATTTGATCTTCATAAAAACTTCAAGAGGTAGATAAAGCAGAGTTTATACCATTTCGTAAGTAAAATACTTGAGACTTAGCAGGATAGGATGACAGCCTTAGGTAATATCAAGTAACAGCTGACAGCTGAACTCTGGAGCCAGACAAACTGAAGTGCGTGTCTCAGCTCTGCTACCAATCAACTGAGTGACCTTGGGCTTCTCTGGGCCTCAGTGTCCTTATCTGTAAAATGGGCATAATCATAGTACCAGCATCATAGGTCTGTCCATTTGCCACTCACCAAATATTTACTGAGTTCCCATTATATGTAGACACTAAGAAAGTGTCAAGGCTCCAGTAGGGAACAAGAGAGATAGGGTTACAGTCTTCATAGAGCGCATAGTCTACTAGAAAAAATAAACATCAACCAAGTAATTGCACCGGGGGTCTCAAAGGCAAATTGCTGCCCAAACCAGGGACTTCATAAACAAAAAGAACTACCTGTGAGACAATAGGGAATGGGGGAGCCTGTGGCAAGGTGAAGAGGGCAATACCTCAGCCTAAAGTAGCTCAGATTGAAAAATACCAAGCAAGGTGTCAAACGAAACAAGACCTCAGCCCTCATTCAGCATGAGGGCCACCAGTTTTCAGCCCTTGATGTATCTGGTTGTGGTAAGTGGTCTGAAGGAAACTACAGGTTGTGATGCAAGGATGGGCTCGGGAGGATGAGGAGGGTCGGGGGTATGGAATGGTCGAAGCACTCATGCTGGAAGGAGGAGCACGTGCCAGCCAGTACCTAGTCAGGATGAGGCTTGGACCACTCAAGAAACAGAGAAGCCCAGGTGTCCAGGACATAGTAAGGAAAGAGAGGCAAGGGATTAGGAGGACAGGTTGACAGAAGAGGGGCATGGGACTTCATTTTGAGGGCTATAAAAAGTCATGGAAGGGCTTCAAAATGAGTGAATAGTGAGTATATACCAATAATAGCAGATAAATTATGTACAAACAACACTAATAAATTGACTGCAATAAAACAGGTTACCATCATTATACCCATTTTACCAACGAAGAGGTTGAGACAGAGAAGTGGCTTACTCGAGATCACGCAGCCAGTATGTGGCAGGGCCAGGCCTCAGACGGAGAAGCATTCTGGCCCCAAAGCCTCTGCTCTTAGTACTGTGAATAGAGAAGACTAAGTAAGAGAAAGCACATAGAGCCCTTAGCTTGCTGCCTGCTGTGGGGAGGACTCGGTCACATTAGATAATCCTTATCATTACAGCAAGACAATGAGAAAGCTAGGCCTGGGATCCAGAGCTCGACGCCCAGCCTGGAGCAAAAGCAGTTTTCCTTCCTGGCTCCTTTTAGTCCTTCCAGAAAGAAACTCACCTTTTAACTCTCTTTCCCCAGGACTCTGCCCGTCTAAGACTTCCTTCAATGAAAATGCCAACAGTGTCTCCGTCTTTGATCCTGAACTGGTCACTGGCCACTGCTTCAAGCAGTTCAAGCAGAAGGACCTCCGCCTGCCTCAGAGCCGCCGGCGAATCATCGTGGTGCCTCGCAAGGAGGATCAGATACCCATTAATCCTGCACCCCAACCTCAGGCCCCTCCAAAGCCCATCCCCAGCTTCAAAGTCCAAGAAGCTAGAGATATCCAAGAGCAGCCAGAGGACAGGAAGACCTGGCTGAGCCGGAGGGCAAAGCTGCGGCAGGAGCTGGAGTCCTTTGGCGATGTAAAGAGGTGGCTGGAGAACAAGCCTAGCATCACGCCTTCGGAGGCCAAGGTCTTACACATGATCCTCAAGGAGCACAGTGGATCCCTGCCAGATGCCTCCCTGGCGACTACCAGGACCACCAGGGTGAGCAGCCCCATCTGCCAGATGAAGACACCAAGGGTTTAGGGATGCATCGTCATTTCATTCTCTTGGTTAGGCTGGATAGGGATAGTTCACCCCATTTCACAGAGGAGCAAACAGAAGTCTTGAGAGGGAGGTGTATCTAGTTATCTATTGCTGCATAATAAACACCCCAGAATGACTGAAAGCAACAAATGCTTATGATCACACACAGTTTCTAGAGTCAAGAATTGGGGAGTAGCTTTGCTGGGTGGCTCTGGCTCAGAGTCTCTCATGAGGTTACAGTCGAGATGCTGCCTGGGCCACAGTCATCTGAAGGCTTCCAAGCTGGCTCACCCACGTGGCTGTTGGCAGGAGGCCTTAGCTCCTCCCAACACGGACCTCTCCATAGGGCTGCTTGAATGTCCTCACAGCATGGCTGCCGACATCCCCCAGAGTGAAGGGTCCAAAAAAGAGAGCAAGACAGAGGCTGCAGTGCCCTTTAGGACATAGCCTCTGAAGGTCTCAGTTTCAGAAGTCTCACACTATCACTTCCAGCACATTCTCTTTGTCAGAAGTGAGTCCTTGAGTACTGCCCACACTCAAGAAGGCAAGAAGACTCCATCTTAGGAGGAAAACCTATGTCCTCCATCTTAGGAGGACATACCTCAAAACCACTCAAGAAGGGATCATTCCTGGCAGTCCATCTTAGGGGATATTTGTAAAATACCCATCATTCATTCATTTGTTTACTGACAAATGAATATTAGCCAAGGGCTCCATGTAGCAAGCAGGTGTTCACAGGTCTGTGAGGATGATGACTGTGAGGTTGGGAGGAAAAGGAGGGTCTCCTTTTACAAATGTGAAAATAGAAGCTCAGTGAGGCCAACATTTGTCCAAACATACAGCCACAGTAAGTGATAAGGGCATTACCAACTCCTTTTCTCTCTGTGACATTTCCTTAGGGTAAGAGGTCAGATAGGTTGGGTTTAAACATAGCTTTGCTACTTCCTAGCTGTATGATCTGGGCCTTAGTCTCCTCATCTATAAAATGGAGATAACCATTGTTCCTACCTCCTGGGGTAGCTATGATGTCTAAATGGATTCAAGGTGTCTAGAACACTACTGGGCACACAGTGAGCACTCAAACCTGTTTTCCATCTGTATTATTACTGTAGTCTCACAGGTGTCCTTTGGGTTGGTTGGCCCAGAAACTTCAGGGTCAGTCCTTGCTGTTATTATAGCTAAAACCCTAATTTCTTTTTTCATTTTTTATTTTTTTGAGACAGAGTCTCGCTCTGTCACCAAGCTGGAGTGCAGTGCTGCGATCTCAGCCAACTGCAACCTCTGCCTCCCAGGTTCAACTGATTCTCCTGCCTCAGCCTCCCGAGTAGCTGGTACTACAGGTGTGCACCACCAAGCCCAGCTAATTTTTGTATTTTTAGTAGAGATGGGGTTTTACCCTGCTGGCCAGGATGGTCTCGATCTCTTGACCTCGTGATGCACCCACCTCGGCCTCCCAAAGTGCTGGGATTACAGGCATGATTCACTGTGCCCAGCCCAAAACCCTAATTTCATGGGTCGCACACACCATCTTCTGCCAGCTGCATGGTGTCTATGAATAAGAACTAGGCTTGGATTAGAAAACCAGCTCTACTGCTTACCTGCTGTGTGACCTTGGGAAAACCCTTCACATCTCTGAGCCTGATTCCTTATTGTAATTAGGTAGTACCTCATACCTAGGGCCTGGACTTTGTTCAGTATAAGGGTGGGAGATGGGGATACATTGTAAATAAGACATGGTCTTGCTTCCAAGGTGTCTTAGTTGGGCTTCTCTTGCCATCACAGAAGACCGGAGACTGGGTAATTTATTTAAAAAAAGAAGTTTTTTTGGCTCACAACCCTGGAGGATGAACGTCCAAGAGTGGGCAGCCACATCTAGTTGGCCTCTGGGAGGGCCTCGTGCTGCATCCTAACATGGTGGAAGGCATATCAGGGTGAGGGGGTGCACGAGAGGACGCCAAACTGGCTTTTTTTTTTTTTTCGGGGATGGAGTTTCACTCTTGTTCCCCAGACTGGAATGCAGTGGCTCAATCTCAGCTCACTGCAACCTCCACCTCCTGGTTTCAAGCGATTCTCCTGCCTTAGCCTCCTGAGCAGCTGGGATTACAGGCACATTCCAACACGCCTGGCTCATTTTTGTATTTTTGGTAGAGACGGGCTTTTATCTTGTTGGTCAGGTTGGTCTCGAACCCCTGACCTCAGGTGATCCGCCCACCTTGGCCTACCAAAGTGCTGGGATACAGGTGTGGGCCACCGTGTCCAGCCTCAAACTGGCTTTTATAGCAGATCCCACTCATGATAAACAACCCACTTCCATGATAACCAATTAGTCCATTAGCCTGTTAATCCATTAATCCATAAATGAATTAATGGATTCATGAGAGCAGACCCTTCATTGCCCAATCATCTCTTAAAGGCCCTACCTCTTAATACCATTTTGTTGATAACAGTATTAAGTTGCTTCTGACCCAGCCCATCTATGGGACATCAAAAGTTGCTGCGTTTCTAATGAGCTCCTGATGATGCCCGTGGTACTGGTCCATGGAGCACACTTTTACTTTCGCTAGCTATTTAATAATATAAATTAATTGTAAATTTTAAAATCCAGTCCCTCAATCACACCAGCCACATTCTGAATGCTCAATAGTCACATGTGGCAAGTGGCTTAACAAAACTCAGGTTTAAACATGTGTTATGGAGGGGACAAACATTCAAGCCATAGCACAAGGTGTTTACATGTTAGTGGGGGAGGCAGACACATGGGATTAATGGCTCTACGGTTTGCTACAGGCCATTAATAGAGGTGGGTCTCGGCTGGGTGTGGTGGCTCACGCCTGTAATCCCAGCACTCTGGGAGGCGGAGGCAGGTGGATCACCTGAGGTCAGGAGTTCAAGACCAGCCTGGCCAATATGGTGAAACCTCGTCTCTACTAAAAATACAAAAATTAGCCAGGCGTAGTGGTGGATCCCTGTAGTCCCAGCTACTCAGGAGGCTGAGGAAGCAGAATCTCTTGAATCTGTAGAGCAGAGGTTGCAGTGAGCCTAGATTGTGCCACTTTACTCCAGCCAGGGTGACAGAATGAAAGTCTGTCTCAAAAAAAAAAAAAAAAAAAAAAAAAATAGAGGTGGGTCTTTATTATACTAAGCACGCTGGGAGGAGCACAGAGAAACAATACCCTAGGGAACGGGAAGGCCCTTTGTAAACTGTCCCGTGCCGAACCAAGGTAAAGGATTATTATCATTACAAAATATGCCCTTTCACCTGGAATTGGAAGAAGAGGATTTGGACAGACAGAGAAAGAGGGGAAAAGTCTTTCAGGCAGGAAGCCTATATATAGCAGATGCAAAGGCTGGGGGCGGCGGTGCCTGGCTCCAGGGAAGGCTACAGCTTTTGGTGCATTGAGAGACCAGACCCGTGGGATCACAGATACTGACTGTTTGACAGGAGAGATGTGGATAAGAATGAAATTTTAGTTCTTATATTGTCCAAGTCTTGTGTTTCAGATGTGAAAACCAAGGCTCAGAGAAGCAAAGTCTCCCAGGCATTCTGTGCCAAACGCAGTTGCGCTGAACCCAGTGCCCTTTGCACTCTATTCTGTTTAGAGTTGCTCAGCCTCTCCTTACTCCCTAACTCTGGGGACCACATCCCACTGGCCTGTCTCCCTTGAACTCTCTCCTCTGCCCCACCCTTTCGTCTCTTCCAGAAGAAAGCCCCCTGGCTCTCCCACCTGCCGGTGCCCCAGCTCCAGCTGCCCAAGCCCCCTGCCCTGTCGGCCATGTACTCCTACCTGCACCGTCGCAAGATGAAGATCCTGGAGATACTTCACAAGGTGGGCCAGGACAAGAACCAGAGAATCACCAGGGAGGAGTTCATCATGGCTGTCAAGGCAGTAAGTGCCACCTGCTTTCCCTGGATGGGCCCAAGTGGACAGGATGCCCATGTATTCCCTCTTGCCCTGTCCCACCACCGGGTTCTGGTTTAACTGAGAAGTACACACAAGGAGTGAAAATGGTCAGTCTTATTACTTGTAAAGCCAAATTGGAAAATACGGATTAACCTGTGGACAAATCAGATCCTGAAAATCTATCCTGCACCAGTCTGACCTTGGAAACCCCTGCCTGGGTTGAAAGTCTGCAGAGTTAACCTCATAACCAGCCAGCTACCTTGGGGAATCCCTATCTTGCACAGCAGACCCCAAAACCGAGATCAGAGAAAGCTGGTAGAGTGTCTCCAACTCACTGGCATATAAGTTACATGGAGGTCCTGTCGAAATGCAGCTTCTGACCCAGCACATCTGTGGATCATCAAAAGATGCTGTATTTCTTACGAGCTCCTGGTGATGCCCGTGGTACCGGCCCACGGACCACACTTTTACTTTCACTGACTATTTAACAATGTAAATCAATTATAAATTTAAAACTCCAGTCCCTCAATCACAACAGTCACACATTTTGAGTGCTCAGTAGTGACATGTGGCAAGTGTCTTCTCCGCTGGACTGCACAGAAGTAGAACATTTCCCATCATGAAAAGTTGTATCGGCCTAGCAGAGGTCTGCAAACTGTGGCTCACGAGACAAGTCCAGCCTGCTTTCATTGGAACACAGCCACACTCATTCATCCTTGAATTGCCCATGGCTGCTTTCATGCTACCATGGCAGAGTTGAGCAGTATGACACAGATCGTATGGCTAGCAAAACCTAAAATGTTTACATCTGACTTTTTTATAGAAAAAGCGTGCTAACCCCTAGTCTACATGAACTAAGCTTTTATATCTTTTTTTTTTTTTTTTTTTTTTTTGAGACGGAGTTTTGCTCTTGTTACCCAGGCTGGAGTGCAATGGCGCGATCCCGGCTCACTGCAACCTCCGCCTCCTGGGTTCAGGCAATTCTCCTGCCTCAGCCTCCTGAGTAGCTGGGATTACAGGCACGCGCCACCATGCCCAGCTAATTTTTTGTATTTTTAGTAGAGACGGGGTTTCACCATGTTGACCAGGATGGTCTCGATCTCTCGACCTCGTGATCCACCCGTCTCGGCCTCCCAAAGTGCTGGGATTATAGGCGTGAGCCACCGCGCCCGGCCCAAGCTTTTATATCTTTTTAATGCAAGATACTTTCCCCTGGCATGATGGCTCATGCCTGTAATCCCCCAACACTTTAGAAGGCCAAAGTGAGAAGATTGCTTGAGGCCAGGAGCTTGGGACCAGCTTGGGTAACATAGTAAGACCCCCATCTCTACAAAAATTTTAAAAAACTTAGCCCAGTATGGTGGCACATACCTGTGGTCCCAGCTACCTGGGAGGCCCAGATGGGGAGATCACTGAAGCCCGAGAGTTAGAGGCTGCAGTGAGCTCTGATCACACCACCACTCCAGCCTGGGTGACAGAGCAAGATCCTGACTCAAAAGAAACCCAAACAACAACAACAAATACCTTAAACAACTTTAGGAAGTTGACTGGGATGTCTTTGTGGTTTTGAATTATCAGTTTTCTCATACATGTTTTATGACATGTAATTATCTCAACAACACTTCAAAGCATTTAAAGATAATGGTCTTTAATCTCTGTAACAGAAAGGTGAAATATTAAGTTCTTTAGCACTAGGAGAGTTCTTTTTTTTTTTCTTTTTTTGAGATGGAGTTTCATTCTTGTCACCCAGGCTGAAGTACAATGGCACAGTCTTGGCTCACTGCAACCTCCACCTCCCTGGTTCAAGCAATTCTCCTGCCTCAGCCTCCCAGGTAGCTGGGATTACAGGCATGTGCCACCACGCCTGGCTAATTTTCTGTTTTTAGTAGAGATGGGTTTTCACCACGTTGGTCAGGCTGCTCTCAAACTCCTGACCTCAGATGATCTGCCCACCTTGGCCTCCCAAAGTGTTGGGAATACAGGTGTGAGCCACTGCTTCCAGTCAGCACCAGGAGAGCTCTGATCTTACTTAAGGAAAGTTCAAGGTCACGCACAGTGGCTCACGCCTGTAATCCCAGCACTTTGGGAGGCCGAGACAGGAGGATCACTTGAGGCCAGGAGTTTGAGTAAAGTTCAGTGAACAATGACTATTGTTTAAAGAAACTGAAGAACAAAATCATATTTCCTTTAAAACTTTTCTTATTGAATATCCAATGTTGCTGGCAAGCATTCTATACCTCCAGAGTTGCTTGAGGTATATGGTATTCTAGATCCCATCTTACAGGAGTTAAGGGAGATTTATGCGTTACTTGTGGACAGGGATGATCCACATGTGAAATCATGCTTCCAGCGTGGTAGATGCTGCCATTGAGACTGGTAGGAAGTGGGGTGGGAGCCTAGAGGAAGAAGTAACCCACTCTACAAAGATGGTGACCTCTGGACTGGACTTTGAAGGAGGGATAGGAGTTTTTCAGGCAGAGACGGAGAACTGCGTGAGCAAAGGCAAAGGTAGGAAAGTGCAAAGCTTGTTCGAGGCCCGGGAAAAGGCTCTGAGCTCCTGCAGCAGGGACCTTGGGTATAGTGGGGAGTGGCTGAGAATGAAACTGGAAGTGGGATGGGGGTCTCAGGTAGCTGGTAAGGCCTTGGCCGTCAGAGCAGGACGTTGGATGGGAGCTGCTAGTCTCAGGGCCTTCTCTCTCCTCAGGCCGGAGTCCCTCTGAAGAACCAGGAAGTGGAGGATGTGGTGATCTATCTCAGCTCTCTTGGGAAGCACAACACCATCACCATGGATATCCTGGCCAAAACCTATAAGCAGTGGTCTATGGCTCGGCGAAGGAGCAGCCTGGCCACTGCCAGGGAGCGTGCGTACCCCTCCCCGTCCTGTGCTTCCACCTTCCCGTCCTGGGAGTGAGCATGGTGTAGGCAGCCTTGGCTTCTTTTCCAAACTCACTTCCTCAATGTGCTCCCCAGTTTGGCTGACTGTAGTTTGGTCAAGTCTCTGGAAATTTTCAGGCTGAGAGATCAACTCATTTCCTTGAGTGCCCAGCTACCACTGTGTCCATTCAAAGACAAAGAAGTCCCAGCCCTTTTACTTAGAGGAGGATGCTCAGCCCACCAGAGCCTACCTAAGAGACTGAGAACTGACCCAAATGGCAAGCCTTTCCAGAGACACTTATGTTATGGGGGTCCAAGGCCTCCTCACTATTAATCCATAGCTTATTGATAAAATTCTTGTTCAGAACCAGAGTTAGCATGTGTTTAGAGTTTACTGGAAAGTATATTTGGGTATTCTGTTATCAGGCGTATTATGGCTGGGTTTCTGTGAACAGTTGTAAAGGTTGTGCACAGCTCAAGTTCCATCTGCCAAGCAGTATTCTTGTAGGGCCACATTTGTCCAGACAAGGCACAGAAGCAAATTAGAAATGGACTTGCTAAAGCTCTGGCTGTGAATTTAGTCTACAACACAAAGCTGCATTGTATAATATTTCTCTATATGTTAGTGCCATTCTTGTTGTAAACAAACAAAAAACCAAAATAATTACAACTACCCACCCATTCCAGCACCCTCCTCAAATATAGATACAGCTTTGTTTTTCTAAATGAAACAAATCTTGCTTTGTTTCCACCCACCAGCTTGGCAGGAATTTAATCTCACACATGACTGGGGCCTCCTTGTCCTCCCTAAGTCACATAGGAGCTCTGGAGGAGGAAGTGGAGAGGGGTTTCCTTACAATGGTAATAACGATCCAGGGCGAGGCCATTGGAGTTCATGGTCACATCAAGTGGAGTCACTCAGCCTCTTCATTGGAGTGGCTCATTTGGGGACAGCAGGCAGCTCAGAGCACATGTTCCTCAGTCCCCCAGGAGATTTTCAATGTCCAGTCTCCAGCAGCTGCCCTGCAGAGTCGCCATCGCCTCCCAAGCAGGGTCTCTGCCTCTCTCAGAGGTCAGGGAATCTTAGCACCCCAACAGTCACCTCCTGCATGTATTACCACCCCAACAGTAGTAATCTTTACATTCAGCACATTTTTAAGGTCACCTCGAGTCGGGCATGCTCTCCCTCTATCCTGTTTGTTCCTTTTTGTTATAAATTACCAAGCTCATCACTATCTGTGTAGCTGGCTGTGAGTCATTTGAATGACCCCCGTGTGCTGTGATGCACATTCACAGCAGAGGTATTTGGGGGCCTGTTATTTCCCAGAAGGTAAACACAAAGCCAAGAAGCAGACATTTGCTCTCATGATGCTATTTTTGTATCATCACTGAGTTCTTTTTCCCTGGGGAGCAACAGCGGGTTAGATAGGTAGACTTGAGTGTGTAAGAATTAAAGAAAGAGAGGCCGGGCGCGGTGGCTCAAGCCTGTAATCCCAGCACTTTGGGAGGCCGAGGCGGGTGGATCACGAGGTCGAGAGTTCGAGACCATCCTGGTCGACATGGTGAAACCCCGTCTCTACTAAAAATACAAAAAATTAGCTGGGCATGGTGGCGCGTGCCTGTAATCCCAGCTACTCAGGAGGCTGAGGCAGGAGAATTGCCTGAACCCAGGAGGTGGAGGTTGCGGTGAGCCGAGATCGCGCCATTGCACTCCAGCCTGGGTAGCAAGAGCGAAACTCCGTCTCAAAAAAAAAAAAAAAAAAGAATTAAAGAAAGAGAAAAGAAACATGAAAGGTGGCTCAGCAGTCAAGACAGGTTTATCTTCGAGAAAACAAACCTCAGAGGGGCTTCTGGTTGAATTAGGTCAGAGCCACACTCTCTTACAGACTACAAGTTTTTAAGGATTCAGGGTAGGGGAGTTTATCAGTGGCTTAGGCTGCTTCTGTGTCTCTTTGTTGTGCTTATCTGGGAGGGAGAGTTGTGTGTCTGTCCCCATACATCTTTCTGTAGCTGCAGGGGTACTCCCCAGAGTCTGCCTTTAGCTTCCCTGTCTTAGTGCACCTGAAGGGAAAGGAATGTGCTTCTTAAGGCCCACTGTTTTACTGGGACCCACTGCTTTACTGGGACCCACTGTGTGAGCATGAAGTTCGCAGTTACCCAAGAGACCTTCCCCCACCTCCCTCTGTGCCCAAGCTGTCTTATCTGTGTTTTACTGTCTGCTCTTTCTGGCCGCTTATAGTTAGAAGAGAAGAGATTTCCTTGAAATGCATGAGGCCAGAAAGGGAGCTGGAACTTAAGTGGCGGTGTTTGTCTGAGATGACGGTCCTGCTGCTCTGTCAGGGTGTCTTTCACTTTGTCTAAAGAGGCAAGAGCTTGAGCATCTTGGCAGGGATGCCTTCTTCCAGTAGTTCTTCTTGCAGTCGCTCTTTTTCAGTCTTGCAGAATGATCTCAGTTTATCCTTCACGTCCCCAGAGGTCAGGGTTGCTATTCCTGCTTTATGAGGAGGAAGCTGGAGCTCATAGAGGCTGAGCCACTTGTTCATAGCCTCAGTAGAAGCTGGTAAGGTCAGGATACTACTTCAGCTTGAGACAATGAAGGTCGGAACCAGGCCAGGGACAATGGGATTCTTTCATTTCTTAGCATCTTTGTTGAGCACCCACTATGTGACACTTCCAGAAACTGGGAACACAGTAGTGAACACAGTAGTGAACCAGCTTTTAATGAGCTTGCACCTAAAGGTCTAGCGGTCAGGGAAGGCCTCTCTGAGGAGCAGACATCTGAGTGATTAACAGGAACTAGTCTTGGGGAAAGCACATTCTAGGCAGATGGAACTGCAAAGGCAAAGGCCCTAGGGCAGGAAAGCTTGCAAGAGATAGAAGGTGGTCAGGGTGGCTGGGTGGAATGGGTAAGGGGTGAACAGTACACCATGGACCAGGTAGGAAGGTAGCTGAGGCCAGATCGTGCAGCAGGGTCTTGTAGCCCAGAGAAAGGACTCTGGGTTTTGGTCTAAGTGCTGTGGGAAACCAGGATAATGAGGTGATCTGGTCTGTCTCTTTATCTATCCACATATATATTCAGCAATGGGGCCTCATTATATTGCCCAGGCTGGAGTAAGTGGCTATTCGCAGCTGTGATCATAGCTCAAATCCTGCAGCCTCAAATTCCTGGGTGTAAGTTATCCTCCCACCACAGGCTCTCGAGTAGCTGGAACCACAGGCATGCCACTGCACCCTGCTCTCTATATTTTGGGGGGACAGAGTTTTGCTCTGTCATCCAGGCTGGAGTGCAGTGGCACAATCTCTTCTCACTGCAACCTTTGCCTCCCAAGTTCAAGCAATTCTCCTGTCTCAGCCTCCTGAGTAGTTGGGACTGCAGGCACACACCACTGCGCCCAACTAATTTTTGTATTTTTAGTAGAGATGGGGTTTCACCATATTGATCAGGCTAGTCTCGAACTACTGCCCTCAGCTGATCCACCCACCTCGGCCTCCCAGAGTGCCCTGCTCTATATTTTTTAAAGATCCGATTTGCTGCTTGGTGAAACAGGGTGACAGAGGATGAGAGTGGCTGCCGGAGGGCTGGGGTCAGTGCAGTGTGGGAGGCCATTAGTGGAGATGGCGAGGAGGGACACATCCACGGTACGGCTCAGGTGGGCACTGCCCAGATGTGTGGGCAGGGAGCAGAAGGGTGGCCTGGTGTCTGCCGGTTGACACTGGATAACTGCTTGGCGGGCACCCTCTTAGTCCACCTCTCTTCATCTCTTCCCTCCTACTCTAGGTCATATCTTGGCCAAGCACAAAGGTTCCCTGAAGAGTCTGCTCAAGAAGCAGGAGGTAGATTCAGCCCCACAGCTTCCCAAGGTGGACCTGCTGACGGTGCCTGCAGTCGACACGCAGATGGAGGCGCGGCCCATGACCCTGGAGGAGATGGAGGAAGTGGGCAAGCGCTACCGCGAGCAGCAGCGACAGCTCAAGGTACCCCCCAGCCCAAGGAGGGCACAGGCCTTGGGGACTGGAGCAGCTGGGGTTCAGGTCACCGCGGCAGCACCACCTGCTGGCTGCAGAACCCTGGGGAGGGAGGTCTTCACCTCTACAGCCACCCGCTCTTCACATCTCTCAGCTGTAAAATCAGAACAATACCTGCCTCATGAGGTTTTTGTGGAAATGTACTAAGATTCTCTTTCTTTTTTTTTTTTTTTTTTTTTTTTTTTTTGAGACGGAGTTTCGCTCTTGTTACCCAGGCTGGAGTGCAATGGCGCGATCTCGGCTCACCGCAACCTCCGCCTCCTGGGCTCAGGCAATTCTCCTGCCTCAGCCTCCTAAGTAGCTGGGATTACAGGCACGCACCACCATGCCCAGCTAACTTTTTGTATTTTTAGTAGAGACGGGGTTTCACCATGTTGACCAGGATGGTCTCGATCTCTCGACCTCGTGATCCACCCGCCTCGGCCTCCCAAAGTGCTGGGATTACAGGCTTGAGCCACCGCGCCTGGCCTAAGATTCTCTTTCTAAAAGTATCACGTCCCTCTCTTCCTATTCTTTAATTATGACTTTTCATCCTGAGACCAGGCCTGCATTTTCATCACAGCTGGAATCCAGGCACCTGGCACAGGGCCTGGCACTGGGTAGACTCTCCAGAAATACATGGCAAGTGAAGGAAGGAAGGACTGATAGTATGAATTAGCTTGTCCAGTAAACATTTATTGAGAGCCTACCACATGCCAGACACTATTCTGGGTATTGTAATAAGCGTAACAGCCCCTGCCCCTAGGAAGCTGACAGTCTAGCAAGGGAGGCAGACAACATCAATACAATAATACATATAAATATTCATATATAATACAGGCTGGGAGTGGTGTCTTGCACCTGTAATCTTAGCGCTTTGAGAGGTCAAGGTAGGAGGACTGCTTGAGTCCAGGAGTCCGAGGCCATCCTAGGCAATATAGGGAGATCCTATCTCTACAAAAAATTTAAAAAGTTAGCCCGGCATGACAGCATGTGCCTGTGGTCCCAGCTACTTGGGAGGCTGAGGTAAGAGGATTGCCTGAGCCCAGGAGGTTGAGACTGCAGTGAGCTAAGATCACACCATTGCACTGGGGTAAAGAGCATGACCTTGTCTCAAAAAAAGAAAAAAAGATTATATACAGGCCAGATGCAGTGGCTCATACCTATAATCCTAGCCCTTTGGGAGGCCAAAGTTGGAGGATCACTCGAGGCCGGGAGTTTGAGACCAACCTGGGCAACATAGCAAGGCCCCGTTTCTACATGAAAATTTTTAAAAATTAGCCAGCATGGAGTCATGTGCCTGTGATTCCATCTACTGAAGAGGCTGAGGCCAGAGGATGGCTTGAGCCTGGGAGGTCAAGGCTGCAGCGAGCTATGATTGTACAACTGCACCCCAGCCCAGGCTACAGAGTGAGACCGTGTCTCTAAAAAATAAACATATATATAATAAAAATACATATTTGTATTTATACCTATGATATTTTTATATTTGCACATATAATAAAATGGTAGATATTGCTAAGTGCTATGTCAACTTAAGATTTGATTCAGTTGCATGACAAGAAAACCCAAAATGTTTGAGCAGGGACCAGCAAAGTTCCCCTGGAAAGGGCCAGAGAGTAAACATTTTAGGCCTGGCGGGCCATCTGTTGTCTGTTGCAACTGCTCAGCTCTGCTGTTGCAGCAGAAAAGCAGCTGCAGACAGCATCTAAACAAATGAGAGTGGTGGCGCTCCAACAAAACTTTATTTATGAAAACAGGTGTTGGGCCAGATTCGGCCCATGGGCTGTTTGCTCTTTGCTGATCCTCGTGTTAGAAGCTTTAAAATATAGGGTTTTTTTTTAAAAAAAAAAAAACAAAAAAACAAGAAGGTGGTGGCAGCCAGCAAAAGCAGCTACCTGCTCCGCCAGCCTCCTCCGACCTTATCTCATGACTTTTATCTCAAGATCACAGATGGCTGCTCCTAATTTAAATTCCCATGCAGCCAAACACTCAGCTATCATTTTTCTTTTCTTTTTTAGAGACAGTATCACTCTACTGCCCAGGCTGGAGTGTACTGGCTTGATCTTGGCTCACTGCAGCCTCAATTTCCCAGGCTCAAGCCATTCTCCCACTTCAGCCTCCTGAGAAGCTAGGACTACAGGCGCGCACCACTATGCCCAGCTAATTTTTGTATTTTCTATAGAGACAGGATTTTGCCATGTTGCCCAGGCTGGTCTTGGACTCATGGGCTCAAGGGATCCTCCTGCCTTGGTCTCCCAAAGTGCTGGGATTGCAGGTGTGAGCCACCTTGTGGTCCTGCGAATGTCGTTTTTCAATAGGACGCCTCTAGGGCGTGTGTACTGTGTTTTACTGTATATATATTACACAATCATGTGTGCACGCTGCACACCCATCTACAGGGCTGTGACTTCAGAACCTGAGCTTCCAAACCTGAAGTCAGTTGAAGTCTTCACCGACTTCAGAATCTGAACTGCAGCCCCACTGGACATTGGTTGCCATCACCCCTCATAGGGACCTTGTAGGGGAGAGGTTGATGAGGCACTGCATCTGCCTTCTGACCAGAAGGGACACAGGCAAGAGAAGAGTGAACCCCCCTCTGCTTCCTTCACAGCTCACGATCCCCTCCATCCAATACACGGAGCAGTGCCGCATGGTGCGCTGTGGGAATCAGCACTTTGACGAGCACTGCCTCCCATCCACCATCCACGGGGACATGAAGGAGCTCATCGACTCAACCCGCAGGCACACCTTTCTGGTCTACCTGCAATGCTGGAAGCTCTGTGAGTCCTATGGCATCCCGCTGACGGAGGACATCCTCATGAAAGGTAAGGGCCTGGGTGGCTGGCTCTAGGAAGATGCCAAGGGGACCCCAGAGCTGGGACAAAGGTGATGCCACCCAAGGTACCCATGCAGCCATTCAAGCCAGTGTGGTCTCTGGTGGGGACATTGGGAATAAGGCAGAGTGGGGGCATGGAGGAGAGGAGGAGGAGCCCAGTCTGTTTTGCTGCTAGATGGGATTTCTAGAACACAAGGCTTAGAGGTCTGGATTCTGGAACCCTGAGCTTGGTGAGCCAGAAGCTCATTCTAGAGTAGAAAGCTCCAAGGACAGGAGTTCTGAGTGAGAAAGCCCTGAGGTTGAACATTAAGGAAGAGGGAGGTTTGATAGAAACGATAACTGCTGTCAAAACAAAGCCTTTCTCTAGGCCAGGCTGTTGCTTGGTTCTTCTGTAACAAGGAGTGAGGTGCAAATGCACCCAGAGACAGGACTGGCTGAGGCCCTTTGAGCAGAGAGCACTCAGACTCCGCCCTGAGATTTCCACACTGCTTTTGCCCTCTGCTTGGGTGGAGAACGTGTTTTCATACATTCAAGCTATTCTGAGCCCACTGCGTCTCTGTGGGCGGGGGGGGGCGACCATTTCTAATAGGTGGGGGTAGAGAAGGGTTCAGCTCCTAGATGACAATTTAGCAATGTCTGCATTCCAAACTTATGAATTGGTAAATATAAATTTGTTTTGTTTTGAGACAGAGTCTCACTCTGTCACCCAGGCTGGAGTCTAATGGCGTAATCTTAGCTCACTGCAACCTCCAATCCCAGGTTCAAGCAATTCTCCTGCCTCAGCCTTCCGAGTAGCTAGGACTACAGGTGCACACCACCACGCATGGCTGATTTTGTATTTTTAGGAGAGACAGGGTTTTACCATGTTGGCCAGGCTGGTCTCGAACTCCTGACTTCAAGTGATCCACCCACCTCAGCCTCCCAAAATCCTGGGATCACAGGCATAAGCCCCCACACCTGGCCTGGTGAATGTATAAATTTAATGGGCAGCATCCTCTCTGTGCTTTACAAACATGAAGGAGCAAGCTGTACCTGGAGGCAGAGGTTTTCGCCTAGGAACCGCTACCTAGGGAGGAACTGTGGCCATACTGGGAAATGCGGCTTTCTGAGAAAGGAACACATCACACAGGCAGTGGTGTGACTTATGTGAGAACTAGACTTTACAGTCACAATGGATTATTACCATCTTTTTCCCAAGAGGGAGGGAAACAAATGCTAAATGTGTAGGCCCTGGGGTCTTCTTCAATCACTTTGCTAGGGCTGCCATAACAAAACACCAGTCTGTGGACTGGGTGGATTCCACAACAGGAATTAATGTTTTCACTGTTCTGGAGGCTGGAGGTCCCAGGTCCAGATGCCAGCAGGGCTGGTTTCCAAGGCCTTCCAGGCCTCTCTTCTTGGCTGGCAGATGACTGCCTCCTTGCTGCCTCCACAGGGTTTTTTCTCTGCACGTGCACACCTGGTGTCTCTCTTGTGTGTCCACATTTTCTCTTATAAGGACACCAGTCAGATTGGATTAGGGCCCACCCATGGACAGCCTTGTTTCAGCTTGATCACCTCCTTAAAGACTTTATCTCCAGGCTAGGCACAGTGGCTCACCTCAGTAATCCCTGTGACTTACCCCAGAAATCCCAGTACTTTGGAAGGCCAAGGCAGGAGGATAGCTTGATCCCAGGAGTTCAAGGCTATAGTGAGCTATGATCATACCACTGCACTCCAGCCTGAGTGACAGAGTGAGACTCCGTCTTAACAAAACAAAACAAAATCTCCAAATAAAGTCACATCCTTTTTTTTTTTTTTAAACCTCAACTGTCACATTCTAGCAGGGTAAAATGGCCCACGCCTGTAATCCCAGCACTTTGGGAGGCCAAGGCGGATGGATTGCTTGAGCCCAGGATTTCCAGAACAAGCTGGGCAACATCACAAAACCCCATATCTACAAAAAAATACACAAATTCATCAGACATGGTGGCATGTGCCTGTAGTCCCAGCTACTCAGGAGGCTGAGGTAGGAGGATCGCTTGAGCCCAGAAGGTCAAAGTTGCAATGAGCCGAGATCACACCACGGCATTCCAGCCTAGGTGACAGAGCAAGATCCTTTCTCTTTCTCTTACACACACGTGTGTGCACGCACACACACACACACACACACATATCACATTCTAAGGTACTAAGGATTAGAATTACAACATACGAATTTTGGGGAGACACAGTTTGGCCCATAAGAAATGTGTACAGGGGAATGTGGTCAGAGGCTGTCAGGAACACAGGCAGGCAACTTCAGTGGTCGTTGTCTCCCACACATGCTGCCTGGGCTGGGAGGGCAGAGCCAGAGGGAGAGCCTGCAGCTCTGGCTGCTGACTTTTCACCGAAACGTCTCTCCTTCCTCCTTCCTTGGGGAGCCTCACATTTCCTGATTATTTACCCCATGGTCTTATGCAGTAGTAGAGCTGCAGCTCTCTTCTAAAATGCAGGCTGGCTTGCCATGCGCCCTGGACTGCTCACTATAGTTCAAGGCTATAGTGAGCTATGATCATACCACTGCACTCTAGCCTGAGTGACAGAGTGAGACTCCGTCTGGAGGCACACAGGTTAGGTCTTTCCCTGTGTGCCTCCTTTGTCTGTCCTCACCAGAACATTGAGCCACTGTTTTTTTTGTTTTGTTTTGTTTTTTGTTTTTTTTTAGAGATGGGGTCTTGCTTTGTTGCCCAGGCTGATCTCGAACTCCTGGGCTCAAGTGATCCTCCAACCTCAGCCTCCCAAAGTACTGGATTATAAGCGTGAGCCACTGCATCCTGCTTTGGACCACTGTTGATTCTCTCCACCCCTGGTTTTTGCTAGCTCCTGGGTTCCTACATGGGTGAGCTTCAGCTGTCTGCAGGATCTCACATTCACGGGCACGTGGAGCATCCTATGGCTGGGACTAGGCCCTAATCCATCTCTGACCACTGTCTTGGCCGCTGTCTATTGGGTATCTTTATGACAGAGGCCTATCTCCTGTAGGTAGAGAGGCTCAGCTATCAGGACTTCCAGCTCTGAGTTCTAGACGAGACACTGGTGACACAGACTCCAGGCCTCAAGCTCAGGAGCCAGAATTCTAAACAAGGTCTCCCCTCCCTTGTGAATACAGCTTTATTGGCTTTCCACCCTGGTTTTGGCGATAATGCTTGCTCATTTGAATTTTTTGAAAACATAAAAATCAAAATTCCCCCAGCCTAAGTTGGCCATTGTGAATATTTTAGTGACCATCCTTTCACAAATCTCTTTTTCTCATTTACAGAAAATTATTTACAGAACTCATTTTAAAATCAAACTTTTTTTTTTTTTTTTTTGAGATGGAGACTCACTGTATCGCCAGGCTGGAGTGGTGCAGTGGCGCAATCCTGGCTCACTGCAACTTCGGTTTTCTGGTTTCAAGCAGTTCTCCTGCCTCAGCCTCCCAGGTAGCTGGGATTACAGGCATGCTCCACCATACCCGGCTAATTTTTCGTATTTTTAGTAGAGACGGGGTTTCACCATGTTGGCCAGGATGGTCTCAATCTCTTGACCTCGTGATCCACCTGCCTTGGCTTACCAAAGTGCTGGGATTATAGGTGTGAGTCACTTTTAAATCATACTTTAGAAAATCATGTATACTTTTTGAAAATATTGATGTTGGGCCGGGTGCAGTGGCTCAAGCCTGTAATCCCAGCACTTTGGGAGGCCGAGGTGGGTGGATCACGAGGTTGAGAGATCGAGACCATCCTGGTCAACATGGTGAAACCCCGTCTCTACTAAAAATACAAAAAAAAAAAAAATTAGCTGGGCATGGTGGCGCATGCCTGTAATGCCAGCTACTCAGGAGGCTGAGGCAGGAGAATTGCCTGAACCCAGGAGGCGGAGGTTGCGGTGAGCCGAGATCGTGCCATTGCACTCCAGCCTGGGTAACAAGAGCGAAACTCCGTCTCAAAAAAAAAAAAAAAAAAGAAAATATTGATGTTACATATCGCCCCTTCCCTCTCCTTCCTTCTCACCTCCACAGCCCTTTCCAACCCCCAAATAACCAACACTGACTAGCTAGAGTGTAACTTCCATCACTTTTTCTAGAACATAAGATTTCATGTGTTATCATCTTAAGATGAGCACTGCTCAATAGTTGCAGGAAGGTGGAGGCCCTGGCTCAGTTCTTTTTATATTTAGCACATCTTAGAAAACTCTCCTAAGGATATCCGTGAGATTAATTCAAACATGGAGAAAACCACCACCAAACAAATCTAAGTGGGCCGGCTGCAGTGGCTCACGCCTGTAATCCCAACGATCTGGGAGCCAGGGTAGATAGGATGGCTTGAGCTCAGGAGTTCCAGACCAGCCTGGGTAACATAGCAAGACTCCATCTCTCCTAAAAATTTAAGAAATTAGCCAGGCATGGAGGTGCATGCCTGTGGCCCTGGCTACTCAGGAGGCTAAGGTGGGAGGGTCGCTTAAGCCCAGGAAGTTGAGGCTGCAGTGAGCCGTGATCTGTACTTTAGCCTGGGTGACAGAGTCAGACCTTGCCTCAGAAAAACAAAACAAGACAGAAAGCAGGTCTAAGTTACCCGAGTGAAGTGTTGATGAAATTCTCCTGCCTCCTCCCAGGACAGCTCAGACCTCTTTGCACCCAGGCCTTGGGTCCTTTGTTGACCTAGTTATGAACCAGCCCCCTCATCGCTAGTCCCCTCAGCCCTATTGTCCCAAGGCCCCTTTCCAGACATCACACTACAGCTGGATGCCATGTCGCCACTGGGGCAGCGGTTCAAGGGAGCCCTCTGCAGTGTTGTTGAAACTACCAGTGAATCTACAACTATTCGACAATAAAAAGTTACTAAATAGATAAAAGAAAAGCTTTTTTTTTTTTTTTTTTGAGATGGAGTCTCGCTCTGTCACCCAGGCTGGAGTGCAGGGGCCCCATCTCAGCTCACTGCAACCTCCGCCTCCCACGTTCAAGCAATTCTCCTGCCTCAGCTCCTGAGTAGCTGAGGTTACAAGTGCATGCCACCACATCCAGTTAATTTTGGTATTTTTAGTAAAGACGGGGTTTCACCATGTTGGTCAAGCTGGTCTCAAACTCCTGACCTCATGATCCATCCATCTTGGCCTCCTCCCAAAGTGCTGGGACTACAGGTGTGAGCCCCTGCGCCCGGCCCAGAAAAAAACTTCTTTATCTTTTTTTTTTTTTGAGACGGAGTTTTGCTCTTGTTACCCAGGCTGGAGTACAATGGTGCGATCTCAGCTCACCGCAACCTCCGCCTCCTGGGTTCAGGCAATTCTCCTGCCTCAGCCTCCTGAGTAGCTGGGATTACAGGCACGTGCCACCATACCCAGCTAATTTTTTGTATTTTTAGTAGAGACGGGGTTTCACCATGTTGACCAGGATGGTCTCGATCTCTTGACCTCGTGATTCACCCGCCTCGGCCTCCCAAAGTGCTGGGATTACAGGCTTGAGCCACCGCGCCTGGCCTAGAAAAAAAGCTTCTTAAATAAAAATGTGAATTGAAAACAACATCAAACATCATCTGACCCCAGTGGCTCAGGGAGGGACGGGCGGTCCGGGGTGATGGCGGCAGATGTTTCTCTTGCTATCCCCAGCCTTGCTGTACCCAGGAGACAAGATCATTTTCCAGAAGGACGAGGTGCGCCCTATCCGGCAGCCGGGAGGCTACTACTCTGACTGGAAGGTCTTTTCTCCAAATGTGGCTCTGCTCCAGTCCCAGGGCGCTGGCGAGTCTAAGACTGACAAGCTGAGTTTCGGACCCCCTTTCTCCCTGCCCTGGCCTCCTGCCCCGTTGCCGTCCCTTCAGTGTGGGGACTGGAGGCTGCCATACCTGGGGCTCCATGCCGTGCCCATGTACACGTCCTAGGGCAGCATCCCCCACCTGACTGCTCACTGCAGACTGGCCAGTCCCGAGTCACCTTTGGTGCATGTCTCAGGATCACAGCCTGCTGGCCTCAGCTCCCACACAGCTACCCTCCTGACCCCAGTCCTGTACAATCACAAGGTTTCTGGAAAAGATGAAAAGGAGGGCCTTCTTAGAGAACAGGGCTGGAGTAAGGGCCTTTGCAAATCCCCAACTAAAGGTCAGGGCCCTGCAGAGAACAGCGGGGCAGCCCTTTCTCGGCCCTGCCACCTTGCCTCTGACACCCCCCTTCTCTGGCAAGAGGTGGGCTTGCAGCTCCTGGGAGGAGAAAGGAACATTTCCCTGGGCCCTGTCCCTAGCCCTTCCGGAGACCAGCCTGAGTCCTCTTTAAGAAAATGGCCTCCTTTGGTACTCCAAAGCCTAAGCTTCCCAGATTTGAGTCAAGCAGCAGGTGACAACCCGTGGGCAGCATCAGTGGGTGACTGCAGAGGACCAAGGCAGCATCCCTGCAGAGGGAGGGGCCCAGCAAGGGAGGAGGAGAGCCCAGCTGGCCGGATACCATGAGGTGGAGGGGCCTGGACCTGCCCCTGCCTCTAGACCCCTGCCAGCTGCCCTGTGTGTGGCCAGAATGCCTGCGGTGGGATGCAGCAGGGCCTTGTAGAGATCAGACAGCCCTCTGGTTAAATGGATAAAGCACTTCCCTGAGCCTCAGCATCTTCATGTGTAAAGGGGCCTAGCCGCTCCTACTATAGACTAAGAGGATCAGATGACAAAGAGTGTCAAGATCTTAGCAGTGACAGCACTCCATCAATGATAGTCGTTATTTTACCTTGCTCTGGTCCGGGTAGGCCCGACGCTGTTCTCAAGGGCAGGAATAGGCCCAGGCCTGCAGGTGGGTCCCGGCCACAAAATTGGCTGTGACTGCCTTCCAGCCCCCAGATGACCCAGGAAGTGGCTGGCAATCTAGGAAGGAGATTTTGGTCCATGCTTAGGTAAGTTATAGCTAATAAAGGATAAAGAGAGGTCTCCTAGGTCAAGGAGAGACCGCCACTATTTAGGGTTATGGAAAATTCTGAGGCCAGATGGAGGCTCGATGGAAGAGTGTGGTGAACGATTAGTGATGTCTGTGAGGCTCGGGGTTGTGAGGTGGTGTGGGAGGGGGTTAGATTTCACCGCCTTTGTCCTCAGGGCTGGGTTAAGCTCTGGAGTGGGGAGTGGGAGCCAGGGACCCCAAAAGGATTCAGCAGTGACTGAGGGAGCCTCTCTCATGACTACCCTGAGAGCTCTCTGTTGTCAGCCATGAGAGAACCGAGGATGAGAAGGGAAAGTCACTTGCCCAGGTCACCCGGCCAGATTCTGAGGCTAGGTCCGACTGCCCCAAGCCCACTGTGTTCCCTGGAGCCAGCACGGAGTCAGGGCCCACCCCAGGTGAAAGACGTTTTTCTTTCAGTGCTCTGCTTTGAGACTTAGAAATGGGCCCACCCCTGCGGCCCCTGACCCACTCCCTAAAGCCCCAGTGGCCTGGATTTCCACTCTCCTCACAAAATGCCTCTCTCTCCTCCACTAGGAAAACGCCAAAGAAAATCAAGAAAATGCAGTTTAAGGAGTTTGAGGAATTTACCAGGTCTGTGGCAATCAGCTCACTCCATAAGGAAGGAAGGTGGGAGGAGGGGCAGCTTCGCCCGAGGCACCTGGGACTCAGTGCTCCTGGCACAACAGCTGGGGCTGGGGCCCTGGCCGGAGAGGCAGCGACAACACTGGAAGGGCCAGGGGGCATTGCTCTGGGGCTTTCCATGTGTTCACTCACCCCAATCCTCCCAACAGTGTCCCTCCTATGAAGGGACACTGAGCACATTCATTTCACACAGGGGGAAACTGAGGCGCAGAAAGGGTCCATGTCCTGCGCAGAGTCACACATCAATGAAGTGGTGGAGTGGGGATCTGAACCCAGCTAGGGTGACTCCAGGGACTGTACTCCAAACACCGCATTAAAATGCCTCCGGATGACAGACGGCATACGCTTAAGACTCTGGATTCTAGAGGCGTTGGACAGGGAGTGACGCCTGCACTGGCCGCTTGCTCGGTGTGTGTCAGCCTCTCCAGGCCTCTGGGTCCTCACAGGTGAGGTCGACAGGATAGCAGAGCCGACCCTATGGAACTGTGGGGAGGAGTGAGGCGCTGAAGTGCTTGACACAGTGCTAAATTTCCACTTGGTCCCAGTTAGTGGGCTCTGGGAGAAGCCTCAGCCCTGGCCTGACTGCCATGACGAGCATCCCTGTGTCTTCTTGTTTTCCAGGAAGCTGAAGGCGAAGAGGGCCAGTGGTCTGCAGCAAACGCACCCCAACTCCTTCTGGCCGGGTCACCTTCTGGATAAGCTGCAGCTCTACTTGCCCACTGTGGCCACAGACCGCAGCCTGGCGCTCTTCAGCTGTGTTCAACACCAGCCCCATGTCTACCCAGCCACCTACCACCCCGACCACTGGTGGCCCCTTCGGAACAAGAACTACATGACCCGCGCCTATTTTGATGCCGCCAAGGTGTACTACATCAACTAGAATGGGCCGGATGTTGCTGGACCTGGCCTTCCTGGGCCAGGGGCCAGTGCAGACAGCGGCCCAGAGCCCAGACACAGGAGGAGTGTCAAACAGTCAGACGAAAGAAATCCTTTCAGTGGGATGCCACAGGCCAGTTCCCTCTGGATTCAGTGTCCAGTGTCTCAGACGGTAGATGTGTCCAAGGAAGGACGTGCAGTTTTTGACTATTTCCCTCCCCTGAACTTTCCCCTTTCTAAATAAAGCAGGTTGGAGTTTTTCTCACGTCACCTGCAACCCAGCTGATGTGATTTCTTGCTTAGGAGTTGTAGCGGGGCTGGGGGGTGGGGGGGATGAGCTTGTCCGGGGAATACAGCAGGCCCATTCCCTGGGCTGTTCCAGGGATGACTGCAGGCCACCTCCAGCCTCTTGTCTGGAGACCCCAGTAACCACAGGGAAACAGTGTGGGTACCCCTGTGGCCTCCGCTGAGAAGTGAGGAGGCCACAGTGCAGTGATACAGTCTCAGCTCACTGCAACCTCCGCCTCCCGGGTTCAAGCAATTCTCCTGCCCCAGCCTCCCAAGTAGCTTGGACTACAGGCTCACCCCACTACACCTGCTTAATCTTTTAATTTTTAGTAGAGATGGGGTTTCACCATGTTGGTGGTCTCGAACGCCTGATCTCAAGTGATCAGCCCGCCTCAGCCTCCCAAAGTGCTGGGATTACAGGTGTGAGCCACCACGCCTGGCCTTCTCGGTGAGTGTTAATCTGCGTTCCTGCAGGCTTCATCTGGCCCCATGGTCAGGAGGCCTTTCCTACCACTGCACGGTAGGTAGTATTGTGATAACCTGCTTTTTGCCAGCTAAAATTAACTCTCTCAGACTAAAAGCTGTTCAGGCTTCATGTTAGCTTCTTAAGCCAGACAGACTCCATCTTAGCTTCTTCATTTTAGCTATTTTCCCACCATTAAGTAGGTAACTAGAGTATGTAGCTGGGGCAGGCTGACACCGGGCACCTCCAGGAATGCATCTGTTAATAAGAGGCCAAATTAAGTGGTACCAGCAGAGCCCGGGAATGCAGGTGCTGTGGAGCCCCCAGAACCCTCATGATCTATAAGTGGGGCATTGTTTTATTTCTCCCACCTGGCAGTTTTATTTCTCATGTCCTAGTTTATCTTTTAACTTTTTGCTTACTCTGCTTCTGTGAAAAATTTACTTCAACTAGGTTCCCCCTCCCCTTTAAAACTAAAGTATAAAAGACCACCTAACTTTTTCTTAGGGGCCGAGAGAATTTTGGGCGTTAGCCACCTCTTGGTCACCGGCATAATAAAGGACTCACAATTCAATCTCAGAGTGTGGCGCATTCCTTAACTTGCTTGGGTACAACATTTTGGAGGCCCCAGTGAGATACTGTATTTTTTGTCGCCACCGGGTGTAACCGGGCTCATTCTGGCCTTCCCCAGATGAACAGTGGCCTGTAGAGGCGCCCCCTGAGATTTTTCAGGGACCTGTAGCCCACTGCTGTCTGGAGGGGAACGAATTGACCACCGGAGTGCCCGCCAAATTCGGTTCCTGCGTCCTCTGTCTCTGGTCCCAGGAAGGTAAGTTAAAAATCTGACTCTGGGACCGGGCGCGGTGGCTCAAGCCTGTAATCCCAGCACTTTGGGAGGCCGAGGCGGGTGGATCACGAGGTCAAGAGATCGAGACCATCCTGGTCAACATGGTGAAACCCCGTCTCTACTAAAAATACAAAAAATTAGCTGGGCATGGTGGTGCGTGCCTGTAATCCCAGCTACTCAGGAGGCTGAGGCAGGAGAATTGCCTGAACCCAGGAGGCGGAGGTTGCGGTGAGCCGAGGTCGAGCCATTGCACTCTAGCCTGGGTAACAAGAGCGAAACTCTGTCTCAAAAAAAAAAAAAAAAATCTGACCCTGTCTCTGGGAGGGAATCGGCCCTGACCAGTGCCTTCCCCCATAACTTTGTCAGCACTCCAGAATGCTGGAGGACAGAGTCCTGGTTTCTGTTAGCTCTGCCAGCACTCCAGTGTGCTGGAAGGCAAAGTCTCGGTGTCTCTTAGTGTCTCTGGTTTCTCTCTCTCTTTCTTGTTCAATTTAGAGTGGGCTCTATCTTAAAACGAGCATAAAAAGTGCAATAAACTCTGTGTAAGTGGTGAGTGCCTGTGTGAGTGAATGGGGAGTTCAAGGGCGTGCCCTTGAAATTCCAGTTTGTAGCTCCACAGCAAAAGCTGCAGAGCTCAGAGCTCGAGAGGGCTGTTACCTGCGTTTCCGTGGCTATCTCATAAGGCTAATGGCAGTGAGCTCAGCTCGGTCCTAATCAGGGATTTATAACAATCTGCTGATGCTAAGAGGAGCCCAACATCTCCGTCAGGGGAGCGGCCAGGGGGGCATGTGACTAATCCCAACACCGGACTCTCTGTTTGTGTGTCCCAGTGGCTGTTGTTCTGTTTGTAGTCTGCTGAAGTCTGTGTGCCTTGCCGCAGCTATTGGCCAAGGTGGCTAGGGGAAAACTTCTTTAAGGTGCTTAGTACAGATTCCTATCTAAGGAGGTAAAATGCCTCATTTGCTGGTTGGGCTGGCCATCCCAGTCCTGCCTTTTCTGTCAAACACAGATCAGGTGTTGTTACGGGGAAAGTTGTAAAAACATTCGCTAGTCTGTAAATTGTGGCACGACAAAGATTGTTGGCATCTGAATTGTCACACCCCACACCCCAACGACTGGGTACATCTTTTTTCTCAAAACACTGGTGGATTCAAAATAGCCATCCTGCAAACCTCCTTGCCCACCTTTTCTGTCACCCCACAACTTTCCCAATGCCCTTAAACAGGGCACTGTATAAAAAACCTATACCCATAATGCTCTACTTTTCCTAAACACCTACTACCTTCCCACGTGGGTGCTCTCTCATCTTTTAAAAAATTCACATGGCCCTTTTCCTCCTCACCCCCATCCTTCACCCCAAATGTGTCATTCTGTCCTGTCTCTTTAAGAACACCGAAGCAGGGCTCATGCCTGTAATCCTAGCACTTTGGGAGGCTGAGGTGGGTGGATCACCTGAGGTCAGGAGTTCAAGACCAGCCTGGCCATCATGGTGAAACCCCATCTTATAAAAAAATAAATAAATAAAATTAAAACAAAACAAACAAACAAAAAAAACACCGAAGCAGCAGTGCCCAGCCACAGTGGCACACCAGCCGAATTTAAAAGTGCAGTTTTTTCCTGCGGGAGCCCGGGCGGCAAAGCCCGGGCGGCAAAGCGAGCAAGCACTGCCCCCAGGACCTTTCACTCCTTGCAGGCTGGGAACTTCCCAGCCCCAGGCAAGCCAGAAAAAACAGCGGGGAGGGGCAAGGTACAGCTGAGCCTGCAGGGAACCAGGGAGCACAGTGGCCTGGTGCTTGTTTCTGGCAAACCTCTCCAGCGTTCCCCAGTCCCAGGCAGCAGCATAAGAAGCCTCCCTGGGTCATTAGGCTTCTCCCCATAACTCAAAGCTTAAGAAAACCCTATGTGGCAAAAAGCAGTGGCTATAACCTTATTCCTACTTCTTCTGGTTATAATCTTCCTGTTTTTCCAATTCTCCATGCCCGCAGGCCGTAAATACTTTTGTCCATGCTGGGTCTGACATCTCTGCTTAAAAATCCTGTTAACTATTGCTTTCAAAGATGGGAAACTCTTCCTCTCAGCCCCAGTCGCTGAGCCCCCAACAGTATGTTAAAAAAAAAAAAAAATTCTCTTTAGGCTTCTCAGAGGACTACAGAGTCCACCTTTAAAAAGGCAAACTTCAGACTCTCTGTAAAGTGGAACGGCCAAAATTTAAAACCGGTGGCCCTCAGAAGGGTCATTAAACCTCACAACAGTTCAAGCTGTATGGCAGGTCGTTACCAGAAAGCCTGGACATCCTAATCAGTTCCCTTATATTAATCAGTGGTTTAGTTTGGTTCAGAACCCTCCCTTGTGGCTCCAATCTTGCACTGTTCATAACCCCACCTCTAAGGTTCTTCTAAATAAAATCACCTCCTGGCCCCAACCTATTGCTGGATCGGCCCCTTCTGCTCCCCATGTTGCCTTCCTCTGAGGAAGAGGAAAGCTATCTGCACCCATTACCCCCACCTTATAACCCCCCGTTCCCCAAGGATCCCCCACAATTTCTTCAACACCACCTCCTGCAGACCCTCGCCACCTCTACCCCCTAAGCCCTTGTCTCTGGCAGTTTCTCCACCCATTGCCTTACAGCTATGGCCGGTCAGAGGAAGCTACCCGACTCCTCCCCTTAAGGGAGGCACCATCCCCATCAGGCAGTGAGCGTTCTGCTGCTCCATTTTTAGTCTATATTCCATTTTCCACCTCTAACCTGTACAATTGGAGGGCTCGAAATCCTGTGTTTTCTGAGAAGCCCCAGGTCCTAACTACACTAAAGGAGTCTGTGCTCCAGACTCATAGAGTGGGTAACCCCCCATATAGGTAGCGAGGAAGGAGAACTAAGCAGAATCCTGGCACAATTAAGGCCTGAAGAATATCTCAGTTTACAGTGTCACTACTCAGTTACTTCCTTTTATATAATCCTTTATATAATCATATATTAGTTTATAGAATTAGGGCTTGGAGAATATCTCAGTTTTCAGTGTTACTACTCAGTTATTTCCGTATATATATGTATATATGACTACATCTTAGTTTATAATTGGAGGAATATCTAGAGTAGATACAGTATAGAGCGTGAATTAAAGAATAAGCAGCTTATAATTGGAGGAATGCCTAGAGCAGACACAGTACAGAGCACGATTTAAGGGAAAAACAGTTACAACAGAACAAGAATCCATGGCCCAGGCAGCAGCGTTCAGTATCGCAAACATACCTGTTGTATGGCAGGTTTGGGGCAAGAGCCACTCTCCTGATAAAGGAGTTGTAGGACCTTGCTCCATTTGTGGAAGGCTGCCCTCGGAGCGGCAATCGCCCCTTGGTGACTGTGAACTTTATCAGCTCTTGTTACTGTGCTGCTGGAAAAGCATTCCCCTATAGAACTCATTGGAAACTGCAGGCAGGTGGCGTAGACCCTGACAGCTCTGTCACTGCTATGTGACTTAAAGCATCCTCCTATAAATCTTCCTAGCTTGTCCATAGAGAGAGGTTTTGCACACTGCACCCTCTTCACTGCACACAACCCGCCTCCCAGCCTCGGTGACCTAATAGGGGTGGACCCCTTGTTTTATTGCTCACAACCCTATCACTATCCTTAAAAGATGACTTCACTCACTGCCCTGCCCCCTAACCT